TCTAATAGATTGATCAGATAGCACCCCTTTAATCTTTTCTATTTTACCTGTTCATGATAATTCTTGCATGTATTTATGCATAATTGTTCATGATTGTCATGCATGATTTTTATTGTATTATATTACATTTTTATTATTAATGTATTTAATTGTATTAATGTATTTAAATGTATATTATGTAAATGTACTAATGTGTTTGAAAATACACAATAAACCTTGTGCAGTTAAAGCTTCAATTGTTCTTTTTTCTATTTCCCATTAACAGTTAAAATAATATTTCTACTGATTTTCTACAGGTTACACAGTAGCACTATAAAATAAATACAATAACATTTCATACTATACAGTATTATTAAAAATTAACAGTGTAATTCTGTACTTTATTATGGTAAGAAATTACAGTAAAATAATGTTATTTAATTTGCAGTATGCTTAACAGTACTGTAGTTAGTGTTACGGTAATTTTACTGTTAAATGAAATACAGCAAGTACTGGATAATTGTTGCCAGTAAGTTACTGTTAATTTGACAAGAAATTTTTTACAGTGTAATATTAGCCGTTAGTGTGTAAGGATCTAATGTAGACCATCCCGGGACTTTTGGCATACCCTTTACAATATACTATGCTTTGGAACTTGTTCTAATCCCACATACTATGTAGGATGGATACTATTGGGACACAGGGTCAATTATGTCATTAGTAATGCTTGCTGGGAGTAGGCCACTGCTGAGCTTTTTTGGCAGGTAACATATTTACATAACTCATATTTCCATGGTAACAGTGACTTCTCTGATTAGTTTAGTTAGTAATGAAAGGGACAGTTTACTGTCATTATTTAATCAACCTCATGTCATTACAAACCTGTGACTTTCTTTCTTCTGTGGAATAGAAGATATTGTAAAAAAAATAAAATGTCTCGGTGTGTATCTTTAGGACTGAATAAAGGACAGATTTGAATTTTGAAGGCGAGTAAACAACAGAATTTTTATAATAACAATTAACATGGCACGGCTACAGATACTTAGTTGAGCTTATTAAGCCTTATAATTCAAAAGGCTTAGATACTCAAATAAGCTCCTGTTAAAAATTCCCCGAGTGCGTCTTAAGTTGAAGGGTGATCGCTTTTGCTGTCACTGGTTCAAGATTATGGAATAAACTGCCCTCCATTGTTAGATCTTCCCAACTTTAAAAATCTTTAAGTACCATCTAAAGTCACACTTGTTCTCTCTCGCATTTTACTTCATTATTTTAGTGGGTGTTGTATTGGGTATTGTTTTTTTATTGTATTTAATCTTTTAGTTTTATATTATTTGCACAGCAGTTTGGAGTTACTGTGTTGCCAGGAAGGTGCTTTATAAATAAATACATACAAATACAAAAAAATGTAATTCATTAAAAATGATGCTGAAATCAAATTGACTTTTATGCCACCATTTACCAACCAAGGTCTGTCTTGAAAGGTTCATACAATCAATTTCTCGATGGAGAAATAGTGTCGCGCTCTATTCGAGTGGTCCTTGTATGCTGACCGCCTTTGGCTGAAAGTGACAGAAGGAATGCTCTTTTCACATTCACCCTGCACTGTTTGTTGATCTCGCTTGGTCTCTCTCTCATGCCCAAATGACTTTGTGAATGCAGACAGAAAGTACACTCCAGCATTCCTCCTCGTCTAGGCCTTTTCCTTCAGCGCATTAGACAGGCAGACAGAGAGAGGGAGAGACAACTAGGGGGAGAGAGACCATCAGAAGTGGATTACACTGGACATATTGGCATGTGTGAGTGATGGTACAATCAGAGTATGGCTTTAATGTTGTGTTGAGCTGCTCACCATGCGGACAGATCTTTTTCTAGCTTTTTTAAAGAGCTGTAAGCTCACCGACTTGGCTACTGTAAAAAGACTGAGCTATGTCTCACTCTCACTCAGCCTATAAATAGACCCCCCTCTGTTTGTTAAAAAAGGGAGAATGCTAAAGACAGAGCCAACTACAGCCCAAACCAACATGAAAGACAGGAAGAGAGAGAGAGAGAGAGAGAGAGGGAGGGAGGGAAGAAACAAGAACATCACCATAGCCAGTGTGTGAAAGAGAGAGAAAGAGTCTTTGTAAGTGCATTTGAATGCCTTCAAGAGAATATGCGTAATTGGGCTTGCGTCCATGAGAGGAGGAAAGACTTTGTCTGCATTTTCCCAGGTTCTCTTAAAGACATTGACAAACATTCTTCCAGTAATGTTAATCAAATGTTTGTTCATAGTTATCTGGTCTTAATGATGTTCTCATACTGGTAGCATGAAAATGTTATTTGTTCATCGTTTATGAAACATTTTAGTTCATCTAATGTTTTTTTAAACATTACTTTTTAATTTTTGTTCTCAAACAAGAACGTTTCCAAGGACATAATGTTTCCAAAACTTAACAATGAATCTCAAAATGTTCTTTGAACATATTTTTTTCAGCTGGGTTTGTGTATGCATGACTGTGTGAGTGTGTGTGTGTTAAGCTAACCATGCAGTGCATAGGGGGAGCTGAGGGATTTCAGGCCCCAGCTCATGAATATTTGAGCATGTGAGAGAAACTGTGTATAGGCATAGGCATATGTGTGTGTATGTGCATTCCCATTTTCCCCCAGAGGTGCAAAGTCCAGGTTCAGAAAGTAAAAGTCCTCAGTATTTCGTTCCAATCACCTGGATTTGCTAAGCAAAGTTTTTTCAGCCAGAAGATAGAACTAATTAGTGAGTCAATGGGTGGAATAAATATACTTTTTACTTTCTACCTGGACTTTACACATCTGGTTCCCCATAGCTAATAATAGCACTCTGAGCCATAATGGCAGCTCAATCAGACTCTTAATGGATCGAAGAGCACCTGCAGAAGCCGATACTGACAATTAGCAAAAGTGAAAAGCTCTGATGGCTTTCTGAAAGTTTGAACGCATGTGTGAGAGTGTATTTTACTGTATGTACTTTACTACTATATGCGTGATATGCTTCGCTCTGAGAGGGTTTCTATAGATACGTCGCTACTTCATCTGTCACATCGATCCAGAGAAATACTAAAAGCACATTTAACACTGCAGGATGAGGCACAATTTAAGTATCATTATGAGTGCTTGGATGCCTGCCTCCGAACCTGCAATCATGTACACTTCCTTCTTGATATGGCAGTTCTGTGTTTTATTATTGTCCAGTATTAAATCCACATCATTGTCTGAGGTTTAGGATGCCAGACCACCTTATCTTAATAAACTCACTGTCATTATTTGTTACCGTCAGTGAAGGTTTAGTTTAAGCAGCTCAGAAATACGCAGAAAAAGAGAGAAAACTCCAGCTTTACAATGCAGGATAATACTTTTTCGATTAAATGTTGTTCTTAGCATCACAACAGCTACATAGGTTGAAACAACATGTTTAACGCAACCTTTGCTAAACATGCGTCCATAAATGTAGACATCCTGAACAAATCTGTGTAGCCAGAACCTTTCTTCCATTTCTTTTTGGCATATTCAATCATGGCAAACTCTAATACACTCAGTCAATTTTACCATTGACCTCCAGTATGGAAACAAAATACCATGGCAGTCAATGGGGTCCATCAACTGTTTGGTTTCCAACATTTTTTTTTTTTTTTATCTTTTGTGTTCAACAGAAAAAAAGAAATTCATACAGGTTTTGAACAACTTAAGAGTGAGTAAAGAATGACTTAAGAATGAGTAAAGAATTTTCATTTTTGGTTGAACTATCACTTTATATTGTCAATGACAATTATAATCCAAGTAGGAAAAATGTCCAGAGTTTTCATGTTATTAGATTTTTAACAATAATATAATTTGTACCAACAAAATGACCCCACTCTGCCAAAGCAATTTGCTTTAGGCCTATACACGTTAGCTTAAAATTAAAAAGACAAGCCAAACATAACAGATAACTTTTTTATGAAAATCATAATAAGAGCCTATTTTAAAATACTGTTAGCTTATGCTAACTGGCTCGCTTACTAGCTAGGTGACACTAACTTGAGGTATTTTTGGCTGGTCATGTGATCTCAACATGGTGGCCCCTGAGGTGGTTCCATGCAAAATAGATTAGGCTACTGATGTTACTGGAGTCATCATTTGAGTGCATATCATGTTCAAGTAGTCTACAACTAATTTCTTTCTCAGTAAGAAAAAAAAATACTAAGTGCACTTTAAGGCCAGACTGAACAAACCATATACAGTAACTGATCAGAATACAGAATAAAATACTAATAGCCTATTAAATTGAATGCAAATGTGTTTTGAATCAGCTGGTATGACAACACACTCTCATTTGAAGCTAATTATTTTATCTTTAGTTTAATTCATATGAATTCTTACAATCTTCAAGCTTACGTTTCTTGTATAATTATTCATAAGAAGTCACCCGCTTCTAAATTAGTTACATTCGGGTTGGGCCAGACTGTGTTGTCTTGTCATATTGAAATAAGTTTTCATAGTCTTGCTGTGCTCGAGGTCTATTAGAGGGGTGGACAAAGCCCAATTATTGAGCCATACCCTGTGATTTAGAAAGGCCGAGGAGAAAAAGGGCAGTAAGACAGGAAGAGAACAAAGACAAAGAAATGATGATTACATTATTGTGGCTTTATGAACACACATCATCCTCATTCTATGAGTTCTTTCATCATCATTGTGCAATTCTAGAAACCATTAGAGAGCAGCATAAGAATGTTTTTGTTTGTTTTATTGTGTGTGTCGTTTGTTTGATCATGTTGTTTGAACTATCACAGTTGCCTAGAGCACACACTGTGAGTCTGTGTACGCAGAAACATCCAGGCGCTGTCACACCCATGGCCTGGTCTGTCTCTCTCTCTCTCTTTCTCTCTCTCTCTCTTCATCTCCAATTCATCATCATCATCGTCGTCGTCTTCTTCTGCTTCTTCTTTTCTTTTAGGCTATACCCGGCACTACAAAATGCGAGAGTCGCCGCTAAACCACACAAAGCGAAATTATACAAAGACCAAATTTACCTGTAGATGCAGTTTCCATGGCAACGCCGCTTCCTTCAAAGGGATGGAATTGTTGCTTGGGCGCGAGCAAATCGTCCCGCATCTCGTCGAAGCGGGGCCCTGCGCTCCCAAACATCCCGTTCTTCTCCTCCTCCTCCTCGAACCATTTCCCATCCAAACCCGGCCCCTCGCTCGAATTGGCGGACATGCTTGCAAGTTATCTCACGCAGAGAGCTTGTTCCGAAGCGAGAACGATTGAGATCGCAGAAGGGATTGAAAGATGTGACGCTTAATATGGCCGATCCTGACCGATGCTTCCCGTCTCGCAGCAGCGGAGCCAGTGGGCTTGATGTGTTTGGTTCAGTGTCTCGGAGCTGACGTCACTGTATCTGTGCGGCTCGCGGTTGGCACGGATTTAGGACGGAGAACGAGAGCGACATTCCGGTTAGAGGACAGTCCGTGTGCGCGCGCCTCCACACCAAGGGCGTGGTTCATGCTACACATAAGACGCACGCAACATTTAAGCTTTTTAAATGGACGTCAAGGCAATGACAATTAATTCATTCAGCCATTCATAATAAACATGACATTTTTTTGTTATTGCGGCTGAAATGAGTTTTCCTCAGAATTTGTGTTTTTAATTATGTTGATAGCCATTAGCATTTATTTATTTGTTTGATTGTGTATTTTGCATTGAACGGACAAAATTGGTTGATTTTGAATTAATTTTAGGAAGACACCCTAAAGAACAAATTCATATTATATAGAAAAAAATGGTCCCCTTTATTGATTTTTTTCGGAATTGTAATGATTACTTTGCCTTTTGACATTCGAGTCTTGCATATCCCCATGCTCTGAGGAGGGTGGGAGAGATGTTTTTTTTTTTTTTTTAAACTGATTGGTATTAGAGTACTATTTATTTACCTCTTTGCTTTATGGATAAAGTGTAGTTACAAAGGATTTAATTTTGTGAATTCCGAGGAACCATACCACCAGAAGCACTGGATTTAAATCTCGTTCATAAAATGGCCCTGCGACGCTCTCATTTGATGTATTTGTACTGTCAGAGTTGGCTAAAACATAAGTATTCAATAGTGAGCAGGTTATTCGGGGTTGTACCGTGTGAATGAACGGGTGGGATGACCCGGTGTTTTAGCACCGTCTGCTGGAGGACATCAAGCAGGACTTCTCATGGGCTTATTTAGCACCGGCGAGCCACGCTTCCTTAGCAACAGGCTGATGTAAACATTACATTGACCAACATAAAAAGAAAAATAAATACAAGTGCGGCTCGATACTGGAGAGTTGATATGTCCTCACTGTTGAAAGGTATGTTTACAATTGACCGGCATCACGCAGCTGTTAAACTTTATGTTGGAAAGACGTTGTCTGTTGGGTTTGTTAGTTCTAAATCATGGAGTGTGAAGGAATTTGACTTGGTCGGTCTGTGTCTGGACTATAAAGCCGGACATACTCCAACTGAATGCATTTAACAGTTATACAATTAGCAAAACATTATGAGAATGTCTATTTTTGTGTGAAATATTGTGCATTTTAATATGTAATGAAAAGGTTTTTGCAGCATAGGCGTTTGAAACTGTATCAACTCCGCCCTCTTCAAATAGAAATGCAGATTCGTTTTATTATACTGTTTAGTAAATACAATTTTAATGTTGAGTAAACAATTAGTGACTATTTTTCCATTTGTTGAAAAATACTGTTTTTAAGGAGATCATGACACAGAATGAAAAGCAGAGTCTAACTGGAGATGAAGAAATTATAAAAGAGCTGGTGAGTTGTATTTTGTGTGATGCTTAATTTACTTGCATTTAGTAGGTTGTCTAAAGTTTGATTAATCAATATTAGCTTCAACTGTAGGAAGTTCATGCACAATTTGCTCTAAAGGTTTTGTTTTCTATGTGCTGGTCAGCGCTGATGTTTATCTGGGTTTGTTCTCTGTTTATTCCCTCAGTGTGTGTCTAATGGACTCTGCCATGAGAGGGTCTGTCAGGAGGGGAGTAGTGAAACGGTTCTGGAGATGTTTTTCTCTGGGTTCCCGCGCATGGTGGGACTCTCTCTCTTCCCCAGACTGTCCAGACTCACTATTGTCGGCCAAAGCATCAGCTCAATCCAGGACCTGGAGTTTTGTCCACTCCTCAAAGAATTATGGGTAGTGGAGTGCAAACTCACTGTAAGTTACTGAAAAGTGTTTGAAATATTGTCATTATATTTCTGGAAATGTTTAATGTTGTTTCATGTAGACTTTAGTGTGAGCACAATTTTTTTTAGCGTAATATTACTTAATAAAAAGTTTATTTTGACTTATCTGTTATTGCTTGTGTGTTGTAGGAAATCTCAGGCCTGCATAACTGTGTGCATCTGCTAAAGTTATATCTGTATGACAACAACATCCAACAGATCACAAATCTAGAAATGTTGGTTGACCTTCAGGTTCTGTGGCTTAATAAAAACCAGATCTCTGACATACAGGTAGCCTATTTATGTGTGGAGATACTGTATATAGAATTTCAAAGTATAATGTGTTTTACACCTTGATTTAAAGGGACTGAATTCACTTGTAAACCTTGAGGAGTTGAATCTGGCTGATAATGCTATAGAGAGTCTTGGTAGGTTCATTGTAAAACACCACATTTTGGTATTGTAGCATTTCATTTGAATATTATAATAGAATACACCTAGACATTCAAAATATGTTGCTGAATACTCTAACATTTAACATTTTTATCTTTGAGGTCATAGCCTGGATCCTAACATCAATCTCCAAAATCTTAACCTCTCAGGGAACAAAATCAGTTCCTTCAAGGTATGAGAAATATAACATCATTCAACCTGCCATTTTAATGATCTGTATCTTAATCACTTGTATTTTCTAATCTTTGCTACTCATGCAACCCTACTATTATTGCTTATACTTACATTTTTAATATCCTTTTTTAATAAAAGGTGCGGTCGCATGTTCTGTTTCTTGGCAAAATTTTGCAGGCAAAATTCATTCATTTCAATAGGAATAAGATTGGGAGTTTCCAGATTTCACTCATCTTCAGATTCCCCACGAAGATTCCCCATGCTTACCAATAGAAAGCTGCTTGGTATGAAAGTGACTTTATGAATCGCTTTATGGATGCAAGTGATGCATCCTCTCATAGGATAATGAACATGCAGTCTCATCAATAATAATGAGACATTGATGTATTATGGTACAAGAAAACTTCACATCCTGTGACATTGACATTAAAGGGATAGCTCACACAAAAATGAAAATTCTGTCAGTGTTTACTCACCCTCATGTTGCTCCAACCCCGTAAGACCTTCGTTCATCTTCGGAACACAAATTAAGATATTTTTTGATGAAATCTGAGAGCTGGATCACTCCTCCATAGGCTTCTTAAGGGTTTAAACTTGTTCCCCGAAAAGTTATTAAAGACATTGTTAAAATAGTCCGAGTGACTACAGTGGCTCAAAGTTTATCAAGCGACGAGAATACTTTTTGTGCGCAAAAAAAACTAAAAATAACTTTATTCAACTATTAATTTCCTTCTCTGTGGGCCTCGAGTGAGTTCACTAGTGTAACAGCGTAAGCTTCTGTTGTTGTACGTCACACGCATCACACACATGACATGACCAGCGTCGGCCAATAGTGAGCCTACGTGTGACGTAGCTCTACACTATCACACTACGTTAACTGACTAGAGGCCCACAGAGAAGGAAATGAATAGTTGAAATAAAGTCGTTATTTTTGTTTGTTTTTGCGCTCAAAAAGTATTCTCGTCGCTTGATAAACTTAATATTGAGCCACTGTAGTCACTTGGACTATTTTAACAATGTCTTTAATGACTTTTCGGGGCCGGCAATTTTCAATCCCTTAGAAGCCTATGGAGGAGTGATCCAGCTCTCAGATTCAATCAAAAATATCTTAATTTGTATTCCGAAGATGAACGAAGGTCTTACGGGGTTGGAACAACATGAGCGTGAGTAAATACTGACAGAACTTTCATTTTTGGGTGAACTAACCCTTTAAGATGAATTTAAACTTGAACGGATAGACACATTGTCTTCTTTGATGTTAAACACACATAACTCTGTTAAAATCTCAGAAAATGCTTCACGAATAATCATAAACTTTGGTTTTGCTGCAAGCATTAATTATACCTATAATCACGTGGCTCGGAGTGTATCTATTATCTTTCCAAAGAATTCCAACTAATGACCTTTCTGTGGTTTACAATAAAATAGGCAATAAATCCTACACCCACAGCACACATTCTGGCAGTGAGTTTTCAATGGGCAAGTAGTGTACCACTCACATTTTCTGTAAAAATTCCATTTTCATGAGTTTTCTCTTATCAGGTTTTTGAATGCTCTTTGTGTAGAGCCCATTTTGTGTTTTCTGTTTGTTTGTTTGTGTCGGAGATTACAGCGTAATAATTTCCTTCTGGCCGTCACACCGTTATTACTGCAGGCCTGTGTCAGCAGGCCATTATTGCATCCTCCTTCTCCTGCTCACTATAGATCTGATTACTGTTATTTCTGTGCATACTCCTTACTTTCTCATCTACCCTTGAAAGACCTGATCATTTCAGGAATGACAAGATTCAAGCTTTTGCTTTTCAGTTCATATCATTATTGTAATGTGACATCTCTGCCCAAGCAGTTTTAATCTGTCTCTCCTTTTTCCATCTGTCTCCCGGAAGAAGAAGAAGCACTTTTTCAATAACACATAAATAATTTCGTTTTCAAATGGTGTGGAGTCTGAACGGGGTGTGCATCTCTAAATGGGAGCCTTTGGTTTTTTTTGTGTGAGTCATGATTGAAAGCTTCTCTGTATGTCTGACGGTCCTGCACAGCTCTTTCTGTCTAACACACACAGAATCATGACACAAGCCGAAAAGTGTTTGCATGGTGCTTTTTGTGCTGTTCATCTGTGGGTTAATTGTTCAGATGAACTGTCTTCAGGCTCATTTGAGGGTTTTTTTCTCTAATGGGAAACTAATGCACTTCCATTTAATGTCCAACATGAAGCAACATTTTTAATTTGTGTAGGCGAAAGTTGTTTCCTAATATTTCAGAAATATTAATACCAAAATAACAATAACAAACAGCATTTATACATTCGTGCAAAATATGCCAGCATGATGCTACCGTGTTTTGGGTGGTTGCCAGTTACAAAGATATTCTGAAGGATATTTAGGACATTGCTATATGGATTGCTAAGGTGTTTGTGTGGATGCTAGATAGTTTCTTACTTGCCAAGTCAAAAATGCCAAGACAAGGCATTCTGATCCATAAATACAGCTCAGGTCTCTCCTTCCAGGATCAACAAAGATGTTGATACATGTTGTACACTTTCACCATAAGGTTCTAGGGGTTTTTTCAGCTTATTTATCATCCACCTGGTAAAAATCGCAAGTTGGATCACACTTAAAGATATCATTTACGCCCATAGTGTAGTCAAATATACTTTGAGTATGAGTGATAAAAGTGATGCTTGACAACTAAACATAAGTAAAAAATATATGGTTTACTCACTTATTGTAGAATGTCAGAATTTTAATAAATAGTCCTGATCCCTGAAAGAAACACATATAATATGTGAAATTATTTTTTTCCTTATAGGAACTGACCCATTTGACTCGGCTGCAACGACTGACACACCTGAGTCTGAAGGACCCTCAGTCTATTCCAAACCCGCTGTGTCTGCTCTATAATTACTACATACATGTCATATATCACATGCCACACCTGCAGTGCCTGGACACGTATGACGTATCCAGTAAACATCTCAAAGACTTTGCAGAGGTAAGAGAATGTGTATTTTATGCATCTGAAATTGTATCTTGTTTGTTTCGGGTTGACCAAAGAGATGAGAATTATGGGAATGTGTATCAGTCTACAGTCATGAAGAAAATGATGTATTACACCATGCGGGTACGTTATGCACAAAGACAGTTTGATGATCTCAAAGCCAAGCTCAATCAGCAGAGGAGAGACCAGACACAACTACCAGAGGAGAGAATACGAGTGCTAGCACACATGCTCAGAACTGTAAGTATATACTGTATGCAGACAGGGACTATGCATCCCTAAATTAAGACATCCTCAAATCCATATTCACCTTCTAGGCACAAATTTGTCCCCAAACTATAGATGAGTGTTTACATTTACTCTCTTTGAGCAGCTAGAGTTTGAGCTGTGCCTTGTTCAGCGTTCTGGGAAGAAGTCAGAAGAACCTGAAGACTTGACCTCTGACCTTCATCATGACCATAGTCATGAGCAGAGACTGCAGCACAAGCTGGATGCTCTTAAAGACAGACTGAAATTCTGGGAAGGGCGTTTGGAGGAGTGAGTGTGCATCTTTCTATAAGTGATTACTGTGTGCAAGATTATTTTTAGGTTTTGCATGTTTTGTTTTGTTTTCACAGGATGGTGTCATGTCACCAGCGTGATGTAGCTGTGGCCTCAAATAGAAAGGAGATGATGATGCACTTCCTGCTGTTGGAGCTGGAAACCGTGGGTAACATTCGCTTTGAGGAAGGAAATAGCAGCGAACCTTGGTACCACATATATGTATACAAGATCTGTTGTATAAATACACAACATGCAGGATTTCTGATCTACACTGTTTTCTGCTTCCTCTCTCAGGTTCACGTCTTGTTATGATCTTTTGCTATCTCGTTTTTGTGTGTGGGATTATAAACCTCAGCACATCACTGGCATTAAGATCAATCAAATTATCCGGATTCATAACCGTGCCCTGCGGCAACGCTTTCAGGACAAAGTGGAGTCTCTGTTTTGCAGACAGGAGTCTTCACCCTTCTCACAGTGAGTCAGTCAGATGCTATAGTCTCACAGATCCTGACTTTTTACAATTTTTAAAGTCTTTGTATCTTATTTGAGCCCAAAACACCCACTTAGATTGGAAGAGGCAGTCTGACTTGCATGTAAAATCACATGTCAAATCACACAGCTAAGTCAGATTTGAACTTTGTCTTATGTACTTAGTTTAGTTTAGTATGCATCAATAATAACATGTGCATGTCACATATAGATATTTGGCCCAAATATTTTTTAGAGCCTTTGAGATTTTTTTGCATTGTCACATCAATTTTATCAAAATCAAATTCTTGTTATCACAATTAAGCATAGCCTATTTTCATGTAATACTTTGTCCCTAATTAAAAAATTTAATTTATTAAAAAAAAAAAATATATATATATATATATATATATACAGTGTGTCTACATGCAAACACACACACACACACACACACACACACATGTATGCTTTATGATTTTTTTTTTGTTCTAAAATGTTGTCTTACTTTTATATTCATGAATTTAAAAAATCAATTCATATTCATATTCATATTAAAAAATGCATATTCATATAGAATTTTAATTGCATGAGATATGGTTCACAATGTCTGTGGAAGAGATTATCTGTATATATCATTTGTACATATCATTATTATCTGTACGTATCATTATTTATCATTATCTGATTTATCATTTGTGTATGTGTGTGTGACAGGAACTATAAACGCAGCATGGAGTATCTGTTCTACGTGCCTGATCCAGAACATTCCTGTGAAAGTGATGAGATACTACAAATCCCAGAAAAGGGCTTTAAAACTGCTGATGCATATAAGGTACAAAACTCATAAAGCTCAGTGAGGAGTGGTTATGAGTTTCTGATGTTTGTAATGTTTTTAAATCTTGAACATAGATGTGTGTTTCTTGCCTTCAGGCATTAGGCAGAGAGAGAGCCGTCCCCCTCTCTAACAGTGTGAGTGTATCCGATCGGCTGAGAATGACATTCATGCAAAGGAAGAGCTGCTCAACATCAGAAAGAAGCCCTGCAGACCGTCTTCCCTACAGACATGGTCTGGATTTTCATTCACAACCACTCATTTCTGCACTATTAATGGCACCAAACAATAATTCGAAAATAATGATTGTATCCCTTATTTGGACAAGCATGTTGCTCTTGTCCCAAACACAATCCAGTCAGGCCAATGAAAAAAAAAATTGTAGTGGCAAAAAAATTATACAAAGCAATTAATTTATAATTCAATAGTAAATTATATGCACTGTAAAAAGTTTTCTAAAGAAGTCTCTTCTGCCTCAAATATTATTACAATTTAAAACAACTGTTTTCCATTTTAATGTATTTTAAAATGTTAAGGATTTCTGTGTCAAGAGCTGAATTTCCAGCTGGTTTGGTGCTCAACAAACATTTCTTATTATTATCAATGTTGAAAACAGTTGTTCAGCTTAATATTTTGTGTGGAAACCATACTTAAGTTAAAACAGAACAGCATTTGATGAAACTGATATCTTTTGTAACACTAAACTGATTAAATTTAAATTAATTTCTCTAAAAAAAAAAAAATTTCAACGGTCGGTAGTGTACATACATGATGAATAATAAATTTAAATGCATTTACTTTTGTGCATGTATATGTTTGTAGGTCAGTTGATCATTTCTAAAGTGTTCCTGGGCCGCAGTGCTGCAGTGAAGGAGGGTCTCCCAATTGATTGTGATCATTACCCCAAAGCAAACTCTGTTTATCTCAGTATCAGCTCTAAACAGCAAAAGCAAACTGCACAAACAGGTGAGTTGGAGTGTGTGTACCCATCAGAGAAAAGTGTCTTCAGGAAAGCGGTGACCAAAGCAGCAATGTGTGTGTTTTTGTTCATCAGACATGCTGTGTCCCTCCAGCCTGCCAGACAGGTGCGACTGTAGACAGCAGCAGAGACTGTGGTACATTTTTGACCATGAAATGGTTATACCAGAGTACCTTGTGGACTTTGAATACGTATCACAGGTATATGTGTTATAGTGACACGACATCCACCGTTATGTCCTTCAGAATGCGATTATCCAGTAATCAAACCATCTTTATATTATGGCATCTTTTTCTAGGACACAACCAAGCCTTCACTAGGCTCCCAATCCAGTTCTGATAGATCCTCTGGTGATTCTCCACCTGTGCCCCGTGCTGAGCTGGACCTGGATGAGGAGGCATTAAATATGCAACCCACCCTGAAGCCAAATCCTAAAATGCTCAGCCTAGAAGAGAAATCCATACTGACAGTGGCCAGAGCAAACATCCTCAGTCAGATCACAGTGAGATTTACAATACCTAACACACATAAAACCCATGTGTTTGTAGAATGAGTTGTTCAGTTAGTGACGTCTATCATAAGACTTTATTCAATGACCAGTGGTGGATCCTGACAGTATAGCAATTTTGTTGACTTGTTTCCTGTCATACAGGTGCTGAATCTTCATGGCAACAGTCTGAATAAACTGCCTGAGATTTCCCAACTCACGGCTCTGAAGCATCTGACCCTTAGCTTCAACGAGTTCACTCATCTGAACGATATTTCACACATGGTGATGAGATCATCCTATTAATCACTAAACCAAGCAGAATGATCTATTGAAACTGATGGCAAATCTTCCGCCCTCATGCGAAATTCCTTATGGCTTGTATTTCTATTGAAATAACTGAATTTCTCCAGCAAAATCACCTTTCACTTTTGATTAATCACCATTTTATCACCTGTCATAAAAAAACAACAACCTCTTTTCATGTTATAATCAATTAAATCAATAATATGAAGTCCTGTGCTATTTTTTTTTTCTCAGAGAATATGAAGCAAAGAGAGTTTTGACTTTCATTGTCCCTTTGTCTTTCTCTCAATCCTTTAGCCAAATCTGGAGTCTCTGGATGTTAGTTTTAATCATATTTCCTCTTTGGTGGGACTGCGTGGACTTGGTCGGCTCATAGAACTGGATCTTCGCTGGAATCTGTTGACCCGAGTCAGAGATGACATGAACGTTTTGCGGAACCACGCCCCGGCCCTGCTTCGACTGGACACACGGCACAATCCTTGGCACAGGGTATGACACGGCACAATCCTTGCTCTGTTCTGTGATGCACATTAGTGACTCTCCTGTTTGAACTGGTTCATCAAAATCAACGAATCTTTTTCCGAGTCAATTTGTTAATTTCGTTCGTTGAATGAACCAAATGACTTGAAAAAAGATTCAATCATTTTGATGAACGAGTTCGAACAGGAGAGTCACGAACCTGGATCACAGAACAAAGCAAGGCGAGCATTTGAACTTATAAACCTTAAACTTCGTTATTTATTTTTTAAATGAGCGATCGCTTCGCTTGATACGACCCTTATTCATCGTCTGGAATCGTTTAAAGCCATTTGAACAGTTTGCAGTTTGCACTGAAACTGTCTTTTGGACCTTGAACCATTTGGTTCCCATTGAAGTCCATTATATGGAGAAAAAATTTTGATGGAATGTTTTCATCAAAAACCTTAATTTCTTTTCGACTGAAGAAAGATTTACATGGATATCTTGGATGACATGGGGGTGAGTAAATTATCAGCAAAAGTTTTTTTAAAAGTGAACTACTCCTTTAAAATAGAGTAGTTACTTTAACCATATTTCACAATATTATTGCTTGTCCTACAACCTTGGTAAGCATAATAGACATCTTTCAAGAACATCACCAACCAAGTTGAATATGTCTTGCTGACATGGTGTGAAATATTTAATTTATGTAATGTTTACATATAAATGTGAATATAAATACATTTCACTTGTGTGTTGCAGAATGAGTGTGTGCGTATGCTGGTTCTCGGCCGACTAAAGACTCTCACTCATTTGGATGATGTTTTTGTGATGGAGGAAGAAGCGGCTACTGCTGTACAAGTGGTTGCCCGGTCTAGAATCAACCAAGTATGTATATACTGGACATTATGATTTCGTGAGCTTAGAATTATAAGGTTCTATCTCTACTTTTGCTCGAAATTGAGTTTTTGACATAATCTGATCCATTAGGTGTTTAATAATGCCTGTGTGGTGTTATTTTTGTAAAAAAAAAAAAAAAAAAGATTAATAGATAAACCTATAATAGAAGATTATACTACATAACAGTTTTGCCAGCTGGGATGTAAAAACTTTGATGCTCAATATCTCAGAACTACCCTAAACAGAGATAGAACCTTATAATTCTAAGCTCACGTAATGTTAAAATTTTGTCCACATTTGTTCTGGAATGTGTGTGTGTGTGTGTGTGTGTGTGAGCAGGCATCTCTGATGACCCACTCTCGGACTGACAGTGAACGTCCCCGCAGTCTGAGTTTGCTCTCTACAGCACACCTGCTCACACAGATCAACCCGTCTCCATGGAAACTCTCGCAAGAGCTTGAGTCAGGCTGGACCTCCAAAGTATGACATATATAAACTCAGATTCTCTCATCCTCTCTCTCACATACAGTACACTCTTTTAAAAAGGGATAAATTGGTTAAAATGAAAACTGAAACTGTCATGTTTACCCACCCACATATCATTCCAAACCTGTATGACTTTGTTCAATGCACTACTTTTGTGGGGGTTTTTTTCTTCTTCCTTTTTTTCATTTTCGGTGCTAAATAGCCCCACTTCCCATTTATTTCCATTATGTGGAAATAAACACTCTAGACATCTTCCTTTTTGTTCAACAGAAGAAAGAAAGTCATATGGGTTCAAGATGACATGAGGGTGAGTAAGTGATGACAGAATTTTTGGGTGAACCATCACTTTAACTGATATACTTTGCCCTTTGGCATCAGATCACAGCGCTGAATCTTGATGGCCAGCAGTTGACCCGGATCAGTAATTTAGACCGGCTGGTGAATCTACGCTGGGCTTCTTTTGACAATAATGAACTAACCCGAATTGAGGGATTGAAACACTGCATACTACTGGAAGAACTTTCCCTTAACAACAACAGTATTAGTAGACTTGAAGGTATCAGAAGACTCTATCTCTCTCTGTTTCTTTTACTGTACAATTTATTTATATAAAACCAAGGACAAAGCTATGTAATATAACCTTAATTAGTTCACCGTACTCTTTTTTTCTGCGTTCATAGCTGCTCTTGTTTGTTTGCAGGTTTGTCTGCAATGCATCGTCTGACGCGTCTGAGCATTAATAATAACAACCTACAGTGTTTAGACGGGGATGTGCTAGACCGGCTACCAAACCTTCACTTCCTGTCTGTTGAGAACAACATCATCTCTTCTCTACATGGACTCCAAAGGTCACGGTCCTTATTCGAGCTGTATGTCGGCAACAATGACATCAGCACCACCCGAGACATATACCACTTAAAGGTCAGGAGATTTGAATATCATTTTGTGCAATTAATGAATTTTTCAAAGCATTCATTCAATACACCTGATGATGAGAATCTATCAACAGTGTAATGTGCTGTATGTGGGGGAATGTTGAAGGGAATAGAGTGAGAGTGTGGTGGTGATGCAATGTCTGTTTCTTTCAGGCACTGTCTAGTTTAATTATTCTGGATCTGTATGGGAATCCCCTAGTGTGCAAACTGGAGAACTACCGGATATACATGGTTTTCCATCTGCCATCACTCAAAGCTCTGGATGGGGTAGCCGTGGTAAAAATATATGATGCTTCTGTATGCATAATGTTTGTTTTCATAAGTATGTACACTTTAAAATGCTTTAAAGGAACAGTTCACTCCCCAAAATATGGAGTCATCATTTACTGTCAACCATCTCATCTTGGTCCAAACTCCTAAATGAAACATTTTGCAGAATACCTGAGCTGCATTTTTCCATACAATGAAAGTTAAAAGGGACAGAAATACAATAAAACTGTAACATTGGGAAATGTTACTACAGTTAATACTTTTATAGTGTAATTTATTCCTGTGATGGCAAAGTTGAATTCTGAATATTGACCCCAAAATTTCTAGCGGTAGTGTAAGTTTTTCAAATGCAAACATATGTGTCTGTTTAGGAAACGTGTGAATCAGAAACTGCTAAAGACGTGTTTGAAGGGCGACTCAATGCAGATATGGTGGCCGAGAAACTAGGCCATACTAACTACAGGGAACTGTCAGAGCTCAACCTGCTGTCCAGCTCAGTCAGGTTCATTTCAACTCTCACTATAAGGCTTCTGTCAGAATTACGCCAACATACCAAAACTGGATTTTTTGGGATTTACTCTTTATGTTTTCTGTTTTTCTGTGTGTTTTAGGATGGTCGATCTCGTTCCCGCTGATTTGTTCGTTAATTTACGCAGTATTAATCTAGACGGCAATAACCTCACCTCATTCAGCGGTCTGATCTTCCTGGCCAACATTAAGGTATGTATGTGTTTAGGATAGAGATGCACTGATGTCTATCTTCGTCTAGTATAGTATAATAACATTATTATATACTAACAGCCACTGTGCATCTATGTACACATACATGCATGTTGATGTGTTTGTGTATGTGGTCTCTGCAGGTGTTGTCTCTGAACTATAACCACGTCGAGTCAATTCTGCCTCGTCAAAAAGTTCAGAGTTACATGAGCAACAAGCAGATTCTCCATCATAAAGTCAGTTCCAGTGGATATGGGCAGCAGAACAGAAGGCCCAGCAGGTACACATACACAACATCACTCCATTGCAATCCATTAGTGTCATATGCTGTAGTTTCTTGTCTAACCACTAGAGAGCGCCACAGTTACATTTAATAAATATTCTCAGACCCGTCTCTGGTTCAGCACCAGCCAAAGCGAGATAGGTAGCTGCAGGACGGAGTGATTGGTGGGCCACGTCCCACCCTACCTTTCAGCACTCCCCCCTACCTTTCGTCATGCCTATTATTACCCTGACCTGCAGATACCCTCACTTAGCCAAATCACAAATGCAGATTTGAAGTTATCAGTTGATGCCATGCCGCACTGAATCCCACCTGTATAATCGTATCCATAGGCGGTTCTAGGATTTGATCTTCAGGGGGGCTTAGCCCAATGTGAGTTGGCCTATGTGTAGCAACAGAACATTGCCTGAGAAGTGCCTCTTTGTAAACTGCCATCACTATATTACTATATAGTAAGTGTTATGGCTGTCTCATATACCACAACATAAAAGAGGCAAACAACAAATGCTTTTACAATAAACCAATTCATTTACAAACCAAGCAAACAATTATTAAACGATCAAAAGAAAGCGAACAAACCAAGCAAACAATTATTGAACGATTGAAAACCGACGTCTAGGCAAAAAAGGAAAACCCACGTGTGATTACTAAATAAACAATCTCTGGCACTAAAAATAAACACGGCAAAGAAAAGATTTAGGAGCAAAATATGTACAAATAAGAAAAATGGGAGAGAAGTGAGAGAGCTCTCACTTGAAGTCACCCAGGTCTTTATAATGACACCGTATTATAAATTAAAAGGATTGAATGCACCTCCTGTTGCCCAACTAACGTCTGCACTGTAGCCGAGCCAGCAGGGGCAAAACAGGCAGGCGTAACATAAGTCAAAAGTTCCCTACCAGTAGCCTACTTAAATTAGTACCAAGTCAATACAACATTTTTATAAGTTATATAATGATGCAGTCTAAAATACAGAAAATTGTCATCATACCATTACTAAAAACCAAAAACCAAATATATGGACTAAGGGCAAAAAACTAAGGTTTCTTTTTCTCCTGACCTGGCCTGGTTAATTGATTAACATTATTAACATGAAATAGAAGGTAAACGAGAGTCCTTTCACTTTAAGACCTAATGGATAAAGCCATTATATTGGGACACATCCAATATTTGCTTTACTGTTTTCTTTAACTTAAGACATAACTGACTGTGTTGACATGGCTACTTGTCAAGACAGGCATTTTGACATAATTTTGTGTGTAGGCTACTCACACTCTGTCTTTCTGTGAGAAAAACGGTCCATCACAGCGTGCAAGTACCCAATGAAGTTACTTTCAAGGCTTCTTGTGCTTGAATGGCTTAAATCACTTGAATGTTCAAACTGATAAGTCTTAAAGGTCCCGTTTTATGCCCCTTTTCACAAGATGTAATATAAGTCTCTGATGTCCCCAGAATGTGTATTTGAGGTTTCAGCTCAAAATACCCAACAGATCATTTCTTACAGCATGTTTAAATTGTCATTTTTTTGGCTCAGAAAAACGCACTGTTTTATTAACGCACCTTTTGAAATGTCTCACTTCTTTCTTCCTTCTCTGTATTTGTAGGGAGGAATTAACTGGTGATAATCTGGAGCCTCTGATGTCCAGTTTAGAGGTTTTGCATTTAGGTCATAATGGCATATCCAACCTGATCAATCTTCAGATCAGCCGATTGACTAACCTCAGAGCACTGTTCCTACAAGGTATTCACAACCTCTCCTGTATAGCTTTTTCTATCTGTCTGTCTGTCTAAACTGACAGAGTAAAGACTGTAAAGTTAAACTGGAAAAGTTAAATTGTGATAATATTTCACAATATACCATTTTACTGTGCCTTTTATCAAATAAATGCAACCTTGGTAAGCATACAGGGGACTTAATATTACCAAGCCTAAACTTCAGAATGGTAAGGTATGTGTATTCTTTGTATCTATGTATGTATCTTCTCTCTTTCTAAGGGAATGATATCAGTCAGGTGGAAGGATTGGATGGTTTGCGAAGACTACGTGAGTTGGTTCTGGATCGAAATCGAATTAAATCTTTGAGTGAGAACTCATTCAGTGAACAGGGAGTTCTTCTGGATTTGCACCTGGCAGAGAATCGCATCCGTGAACTGAACCACTTGCACCCTCTCAAAGGGCTCCAGAGGCTGTTCTTAGACATGAACAAAATACAGGTACACAATAAACATCTACACAAAGTTACAGCTGTGACCGTAATGCTCCACAAATTACCTTTTGTTTATAATTTAACCATTTGTAAAAACCTTGCTAACCACGAAAACATTAAGTCATGGCATATTTCTAGGTGGTGGTTTAGTTGACATTCATAAGTTAGACAGAAATCTCTGTCAGATATAGTTTATCTTATGATAGGTATAATGTATTGTATTAGCAGGATATATTTAAGTATCGTAGATCTGTGTTACACATAATTTCATTAGCAGCTAATGTACAGTAGTAGCCTATCTACCAGGAAACTTAGGAACACTCTTACTCTCAACCCCACTGAGAATGTGTGTGTAGGTTTGAGTGCTTATTATTCACCTCTCTATTCCCATCTATCTGTATGTGTGTGGCTGCAGTTTTACCATAATTACTAAATTACAGTAATTCAGTCACTTAGTGTGTTTGTATTAGTGCTGTTAGGCCCTGCGAGAGCTCTGCCTTTCGCCTGCCCCTGAATATAGAGTAATTACAGACAGCCATTATTACTGCACCAGCACAGCAGCCCAAGGGGACAATTAAGCAGTATTTACATTGATTGAAGGTCAGAGGTGTGTGTAGGTTTGTTTGTGTGTGTTTTTGAGACTCACTGATCTTTTATTCACCTCCCCATTTCTTCATCTCTGACATGGCATGTTAACAAAAATCTTTAATTTGATGTTGCTTGTGTTCTGCCCATTTCCTAAAGTCCATTGTTCAGTCTCCTCTGTATATGATTAACATGACAAAAACTAAAACTTTTGAAATATTTTAGATTAAAAAGCACTGATATTTAATAATTTTAATTGACAAACATTCATGCGTGAAAGACAAAGGGAAAATTAAGAATGCAGGATAAATTAAGGATAAATCTGAAAAAAAAACAACAAAAAAAACAACAAGATGTTTTTTTAATTTAGAATGACCAACTAATAAAAAATAGATCACTAATAAAAAAAAAGTAATTTTCTTACTTTTCAAAATGGACTAATATATTTAATTCATTTGGACATTTTCTTTAATGTCTACCCCTTTAACTCTACCCCTTCCAAGCTAAATTTTGAATTCCCAAAGAAAGCATATGCTCTGTCTATCCACAGGTTTTTGCACAGACCGAGGACAAAACTAATGAATAAATTTCTACACGGACACGGTACAATCTACAATGGTCCAAACGATGGCACTAAACACAAATGTGACCAGACCTCAAACAGAGGAAAAGGAGGAACTTAAGGACAAGCCAAATGAAAGAAATAATGATAAACGCCTGTGCTGATTAAATTAATTACAATGACAACAAAAGATTGGTGGGAAACTTAACAAAGAAACACATGTGACTGAAAATAACTAACTAAAAGTCCATGAAAACAGAAACTAACTGAACATAATTGTGACCCCACCTCCACCCCAGATCCTGTAGAATTTAAAGGGTTTATCTCTTAGTCTTACTGCAGTGGAAAAGGAATAAAGCCCTTAACAACAGTTATCCACTGAGACACAGATGGGGTCAGTTATTCATTGTAACAAAATACATTTGCGGGCCGAATGTAACAATATTTGCAAGAGACGATCACCCTTAAAGGAGAAGTTCACTTTTAAAAATACTTTTGCTGATAATTTACTCACCCCCATGTCATCCAAGATATCCATGTCATTCTTTCTTTAGTTGAAAAGAAATTAAGGTTTTTGATGAAAACATTCCAGGATTTTTCTCCATATAATGGACTTCAATGCGAACCAAACGGTTCAAGGTCCAAAAGACAGTTTCAGTGCAAACTGTTCAAAGGGCTTTAAACGATTCCACACTGTAAAAAAAATATATATATATATTTTCATGATTTGTAATCACAACATTTTTTCATTTGTCAAATCAACTTAAATTATTTATTTAGCTCCTGTTCAAACTCAGAGAAGATTCGTTCATTTTGCTAAATGAAAAAAAAAAGATTCATTCATTTTGCTAAACGAGTTCGAACAGGAGAGTCACGAACGTGCATCACAGAACAGAGCAAGGCAACCATTTGAGCTTATAAAACTTAAAATTCGCTTGATAAGACCCTTATTCATCGTCTGGAATCGTTTAAAGCCCTTTGAACAGTTTGCAGTTTGCACTGAAACTGTCTTTTGGACCTTGAACTGTTTGGTTACCAGTAAAGTCCATTATATGGAGAAAAATCCTGGAATGTTTACATCAAAAACCTTAATTTCTTTTCAACTGAAGAAAGAATGACATGGATATCTTGGATGACATGGGGGTGAGTAAATTATCAGCACAAGTTTTTTTTAAAAGTGAACTACTCCTTTAAAACCATGTGGAGTTCCTGAGTAACAGAGTTCCCAACAAACAGATCTTAGGCCCTAAGTATAAAGACAGGAAAAAAAAACATTCACTTCTAGACAAACCCCTGCCCAGAATTGCTGGACCTTACATGTATGCCAACCTCCACATTTTAATCATATTATTAAGAATGATGTTGCCTTTTATTAAAACAGACAACTTTGTGGATAACATGCATAGTAAGTTGCGAAGAAGGTTTGAACCAATACTTGCTGCTCCTGAACTGACCCAGGTCGAGTTTGGATTGTCTAGATGCCATTTCAGTATATTTTAGTTGAGCAGATAATTGATATAATTCAAATAAGTGAGCTGCCAAACCTCCAAATCTGCTAGGGAGTGAGAGAAAGCTAAATCTAAGTCTAGGCCTTTATGTTCCATTAAATAAAGTTATAACTGAACCGTGTAGTTGTCTCAAAACTCTATCAGGAAGCAAAATGGGAAGCATCTGGAAGAGCTTAAACAGACATGGTGTGTTCATCTCAACAAGGTGCCCTAACGGTAAATTGAACCATCTATCCAGATGATTAATCTGTGCTTTGATAGTTGGGGTAAAATTTAATTTTTAAAGGCAATCCAAATTAGGAGAAATCTTATATGTAAACCCAGAAGGAGACCACCTAAACAGCAATTACACTTCCAAGCCCAAAGAGTGAGAGTCATTTAACGGTATAGCCTCCGATTTTGCTAAATTGATCTTATATCCAGAGAAGGCACTAAATTCAAAGATCCAATCTGTTAACTTTGTTTGGTAACAGATTTTATTGGTCTTTCTCCCTAAGGAGATACCTTTAATATCAGAGTCTTTTCTGATGGCAATTGCTAATGACTCAATAGCCAGTACAAATATTCAATTTATTTAATATTAATTGAATGTGGGGTGGTGATGGCGCAGTGGACAAGACACATGCCTTTGGTGTGAGAGACCTGGGTTTGAATCCACTGTGAGACACCAATGTGTCCCTAAGCAAGACACAGTTGCTCCAGAGGCGTGCAACCTCTGACATATATAGCAATTGTAAGTCGCTTTGGATAAAAGCGTCAGCTAAATGAATAAATTTAAATGTAAATGTATTCCTGTGTTGGCAAAGGTGAATTTTTAGCATCATTACTCCAGTCTTTAGTGTCACATGATCTTTCAGAATCAGAGTCAATTTAATTTTTGTTGTTGTAAAGTAAATGTATATCAAAAGCATCATAAGAACTAATTTGTCTTTTGTTTGTGTTCCAGGATATTTCAGAACTAGAGAAACTGGAGGCACTCCCTTCTCTTTTTGAACTGTCTGTAGTGGGCAACCCAGTGAGTCTGTAACACACACACACACACACACATACACAACAAACAATGCTCTAGATCAAGAGATTTCAAACTGAGCTCTTGGCTGAACTGCAGACACCATGATTACAGACAAATCCACCCTCTCTCTCTCACACTCGTTCTCACTCCCACACACAAACACACACACACACACACAATATAAAACATATCGTGCCTTCTCTGGTTATGAATAAATGCGTTCTGTGTTCCGGGCGTGGCAGAACTTCCCTTTAAAGTTGGCATGAAACAGAAGTTGGGATAGTCATTTCTTCCCTATTGTGTCCTATATCCAGTGTTGGGTGTAACTAATTACTAAGTAATTAGTTACTGTAATTTAATTACTTTTCCCTTGAAAATGTAAAGTAAGGGATTACTCTTAATTTATCTGCAATTTAATTACAGTTACTTCTGATGTAATTGAGGTAAATACTGTGTATAGATCAATCCGATCTCACAGCGATTTGTATGCATTTTACGAGGTGTCTAAATATTACGACCGCACTCGTACAAATTCGTATGAATTATTATAAAATAATTATGAAAAAAGTGAAATGTCATGAGATCAGACATAAAACAATAGTGGGTTTAACATCAAAATGTATTGTCTGATGCTAAAAAGTATGTTTTTATAATGTGACCTTCTCCACCTTGGTCAGTTTAATGATAATTCATGCAATTGTATAGTATTTATTTGAAAGAATTAAAACAGATGTCTATCCTTGTATTATTCAGCTGGTTGAGATTGATATGGGATTTTTAAAGTAATTAGTAATTAAATACTTTTTAGAGAGAGTAATTAGTACAGTTATCTACATTACACTGTTGAAGAGGTAATGGGCTATATGCACGCATAAGTTCCGCATTTGACGTAAGGATGCTCGTCCATTTCCGGTTGTGTAGATTAAAGCGGAGGAAAACCGGAGAAAACGGGTCTTCAATATTTACTGTACTCCCGTCTTTGAAACGAAACGTACATACGTTTAGATGTAATTTTATATATAGTTATGTTTATTTAATATAATTTTAAAAAGAAGCATAAACACAACGAGGGGTGTCTGTTTTATCGGTTTTTGTGACTAACGTTTCATTAGTATAACCATGGAGTATAAAATTCAATATAAATTCTCGGTATTGCATTGGACTCTATGATCGGCGGAAGTTATCGAGCATCCTTAATCCTTCACCGGAAATAACGCCGTGCATAGAGCCCATTAGTAACTAGTAATTAATTACTTTTTTAGAGTAACTTACCCAACACTGCCTATATCGAACTAGAAATAATGTAGAATTGGGCCTTGATTTTGTCCATCAAGAATTGATTGGATTGTGTGATGGTTGTGGTTTGTTGTCTCGCTTTCTCTCCGAAAAACACGTCACCAGAGAAGAGAAGCGATGTTACTTCAAGAGGGAAGTTATTTAGAATAAAGATCATGAGGGAAGGTCCACAAATTAAATAAATAATAATGATGTGCACGGATAAATCATTTATCATATACTGCATAAAAAAGAACTGTCAATTTTTCTTTGTGACTTTAATTAGGCATAGTCTGCACTACCACATAGCAGATGTGTGTTTTGTTTTGCAGGTGGCACGGCGATCCCTGCACAGGCCTCCAGTGGTACTGTATCTGTCCAAACTGCAGGTTCTGGATGGCATTACCGTCACAATGGAGGAACGAACCAGAGCAGAGCTTTTAAATAATGAAGCACAGGTACCTCACATTTACTATAGATCGACTGAATAGATCAAATACAACTTATACTGCAGATAAAGACAGTTACTTTGGGCATGTTTGTAGGGTTCTAGTTCAGGTGGAGAAATGACATTACCTGGTTTGGTACCATTGGCAACCAGAACGGCTCCTTTAAGAGGTACAGGAATACACACACTAATACCTGATCAACAGGATGACACACACGATACCAGCAGATGTAAGTATACAGCATACAGACACACACCAAAGGCTAAACACAAACACTCACCATGTATAGATTTTTGTGTGTGTTCAGATAAGAAGCAGAGAGCAGTTGTCTCTCTCATGCGCGGAGTTCAGAGTGACATTAACTTCAGGCAGATCAGAGGATCTTCCAGCCACTACATGACAGCACTGCAGCAGACCGGTTTCAGGGTTCTCTCTACTTTCCCTAAAGCTGATCCTGAGACCAGGTCTTTACACACACACGCATACTCAAGGGTCATTATGTGGTGTTGAAGGATAAAGGGGTGTAATAATCATTCATATTCTTCACAGGTATCTGTGTCAGAGTGGACCCAGGCCTCCTCCTCCTCCTCTGTAACAACAGAGCTTTAGAGACACACTATGTGTGTCATGTTTCCCCTTTGGCCTTGTGTGTTGTTGTTCATTGAGGTTCACACATATTTTCCTCGATCTTTGTTTTTTAAATCGGACTTAAATTCCCAATATGTTTATTTGTTTGGAATTATGTCAATGTCAAAGGCATTAAATATATTTTTTTTTCTATTCGAGTCACTAATTGGTGTCTTTTATTTTAAAGGAGTAGTTCACTTTAAAAAAAAAACTTTTGCTGATGATTTACTCACCCCCATGTCATCCAAGATATCCATGTCTTTCTTTCTTCAGTCGAAAAGAAATTAAGGTTTTTGATGAAAACATTCCAGGATTTTTCTCCATATAATGGACTTCAATGGGAACCAAACGGTTCAAGGTCCAAAAGATAGTTTCAGTGCAAACTGTTCAAAGGGCTTTAAACGATTCCAGACGATGAATAAGGGTCTTATCAAGCGAAACGATCGCTCATTTAAAAGCTCAAGTTTAAGTTTGATAAGCTCAAAATGCTCGACATGCTCTGTTCTGTGATGCGCGTTTGTGACTCCTACTCGATTTTGTTCATCAAAATGAACAAATCTTTTCCCGAGTCAACTCATTTCGTCGTTGAATGAACTAAATGACACAAAAAAAGATTTGTTCATATTGATAAACGAGTTCGAACAGGAGGGTCATGAACGTGCATCAAAGAACAGATGCAAGGTGAGCATTTGAGCTTATAAAACTTAAACTTTTTTATTTATTTTTGAAATGAGCGATTGTTTCGCTAGATAAGACCCTTATTCATCGTCTGGTGTCATTTAATTTTATCGTCATTGCCTTTGAAGCTGCACTGAAACTGTCATTTGGACCTTGAACCGTTTGGTTCCCATTGAAGTCAATTATATGGAGAAAAATCCAGGAATGTTTTCATCAAAAACCTTAATTTCTTTTCGACTGAAGAAAGAAAGACATGGACATCTTGGATGACATGGGGGTGAGTAAAGTATCAGCAAAAGTTTTTTTTAAAGTGAACTACTCCTTTAAGTCCTTGCCTACAAAATTCTCTATAAGGTTCGTTTTTAATTTATTAGATTTTTTTTTTATTTTAATTATGGTAATACTTTATTTTGATACTCCACGTTAGACATTAAACTAACTATAAGTACCGGTAACTATATATATATATATATATATATATATATATATATAATATATATATATATATATATATAATTATATTTTATATATTATATATTATAATATATTATAGCTGGTTTTTGTGAGTTTAACTGATTCACAGACTCAGTGAACCAGTGGAACTTAGTAGCACATTTAAAATATTAAAACACCATAAAATTAAAATTTTAATATTTGTGATCAATATTATTTTTTTTTAATATTAATAAATTATTATTATTTTATAAATATTAATAAATTATTATTATTTTATAGAGCATAAGAAGAAACAATGATTGGTTTTTGCTATTATTTTATAATACAATCTACATTATTATACGAAGGCATAATAATAATAATAAATCGAAATACTTTGTAATCGTATTGAATAATACCATCATGGCTGCACCTGAACACTGAAGAAAAACATTTACTGATAACCATTTAAAACATATGCACTATTTCCAGCTTTGTACATTTGTGTTGGTTTTTCTTTTCAGGACAAACACATCTCACACACATTTTTCTCTAAGACATAAAAGCTCACTCTGGGGTGGAATAGTTCTCATTACAGCTGGCAAACAGAGATTTGTGTCAGACTGTGACACTGAAAAGAGAGCAGAGGTTTTAGACTGATGTGTTTATTTTCAGTGGGCTGTATTATGAGGGCAGTTTAGCAGAACAGCTGAAAAGCCAATGTCTGGAAAAATTCAAAGGCAATCACACACATAATGTGTTCAGTAAAAACCCGTTATCACAGCTCGAAGTAATTCTCTTCCTGTTTTTCTCTGGAGTAATGGTGGGGAGGAGAGAGTCAGTTAGAGAGAGAACCAAAACCGACAGAATAAAAGAAGATGTATTAAAATGTGGAGAAAATTAGAAAGGAAGGCTGCTGAACTTAACCTGCTGTGGAAATAACACAGATCACAGTGTGTTGTCCAACTTCAAGGACAGGTCCTTCCTTTTTATCAGTTGACGTCTCTCTTGCTCTTCTCATGCAGGGATGTGCGTCAGACTTGCCAATAGCTTGGAATTATAATGAAATTAAATAAGGTAATTTTAACTAATTTTTCCCTATTCTTATAGATTTTATTTTTGACACATTTTTTTTTTGCTGGAAACTATTGCTGGAGTGTTTTCCCAATGATTTATTTATTTTTATCAAACGGTTGCTTTTAAAATCCAGGGTTTGGTTACGTAAATATTTCAGCTTTTGTTTGATTATACTTCCTTTTATGCAATATTGTCATGTCTAAATAGATAAAAATATACTAATACTGCTCCTTCACTTCTTCTATGACTATCATGGTCATAGATGTCATTGTTCTCTCCGGGGATCGAAATGACTTATGACTCTTGATGATTTAGATATCTGCATCTGATCATTGCATTACAAATTATTCAATTAAGCATGATAACATATCACACTAAAGTAGGCTGATTTAAAATGAACATTTATTTGAATTAAAAGTTCTTCTTTTGGCAAAATTAAATTTCCTTTAGAGCCTAAACAGAGGCTTTACTCCCTTTAAACTTAAATTGTCAATGTTTCATTTTTGAAAATACTTTTTGAAAAAATTCTTATCTGAATAATTTGTTGTACCTTTATAAAGGGCACTTTTCCCCTAATTTTATTTTATGTATGCTCTGAATTTCATTTTAGTGCCTAGTGGCTGTTACCAATCAAATAATTTCCATTGAAAAAATTATAACCGTATTAAATGAGATTATGGGATTGTTTTAAATATTTGTTTTTATATTGCAAAGAATGATCCTTTGAAACTAATCCGCCAGTAGGTGGCGGCAGGCGACCGTCTGAATGAGCGAGTCATTGAGTCATTAATTTAAACGATTCGTTCAAACGGCCGATTTATTCAAAACGAGGCGGTTTAATAATGGGTAATTGAATCTTTGAATTATTCAGTAATGAGTCATGGGTGAGTGTTTCACTGAGATTCGCTGTGGTTCTGTTGTTTGGAATTATTTCGATGCTGAAACAGTACAAAAACAGTAATTGCGCCTAAAATGTTGTTTATTGAACTGTTATGAAATCAATATCTCGGATCTCGGCAATCGTGATGGCATTCAGGACAGCAGTCTGGTCGTGTGTTTTTAAACGTTCGTTTACCTTCGTTCCTTCCAAGGTGGTTAAAATGGTACGGTCCGTAAAGGAGTGTCTGAAATCGCTTTACATTGAAAATAGGAGTTGACTTGTATTGTAACTGTAATTATATTTTTTCACAAATTATCTGACCCCCGCAAAACTGATATTTCTGTCACTTTGGGGACCTGTAATTCACTATACGTACACACGTAACCGTATGTGTCGTCTATTAGCGCCGCCCTTTGGGCCGCATTGCCCAACTACAGCATCAGCAAAAGCGATGATGGATAACGGGTCCGTTGCTTTATCCCTGCACAAACCCTCTTCCCACCCCTCCAGCACCCCTCCAACCGTTTTGATTTAGAGGTATGCGTTAATCAAAACAGAAAGGGCTGTTCACATTTTTACCATGTGGAAAAAATCCCCGAATTCTAAGCCCAAACACAAGCTGCTAACGTTACCGCTAGCCGCGCTAACCAGTTTATAGCCGCTTCTCCTCGCCTCTCTTATTTATCTGCTGTGTTTGGAGGAAACCGAGACGATATTATAATGTAATATGATATAGGAGCTGTGTGTTTAGTTATTGTAATGCTCAATAAACCAGTTGTCACGGCGATGTATGCCTCTTGTTGTCATAGCTGCAGTGTTAGCATGTGAACAGATCAGAGGATTCAAATCAACATGACTGCATTAAAAACCTAAGTCTGAGGATTATAACTACAAATCAAAGGATAAAATCACATAATTCAGAGGATAAACGCCGCATCAACAAACAGGTAAACTGGGAATCAAGTATAAAAACCAAAATTCACAGATGCTTTGAGCTTATTGTTAAGGCAAGACATCACAGTTGAATACGGTAAAAACAACAACCATAATAATAACGATATAAACCTATATCCCCAGTTTATTAACTTAACAATTGTTTATATTTCAGGTTGAAATATTGAAATTCTAAATATGCTTTTTAATATTCTGTTAAATGTTTAAATAAGCAACTCATGCATTATCCAATTAAATTTCCAGAACATAAACCTAAATATTGGAAAAAGCCAGGTTCATGTTTCATTTTGTTGACATTAGTTAAAGATGATACAGATGGGATTTTGTATATCTCTTTTTATCACTTCATAAATACTGTCATCAGAATAAAAATATATATTTTTTAGGAATTAAATGTTATATAAATCAGATGAACGATATATGAACGAACCCACCTGTAAAAGCTAAAATAAAACTGAAATGTTTGCTGTAGTGCTGCTGAAGTGTCTACAAAGTCTACAGACGCGAGTAGATAAAGTGTAACAAAAGGAACATGTAAATGTGTATTTTGTTTGTTTTCTTTCCTCTAATTTCAAGACGTAGTATAGAAGCAAAATAGTCAAATATTAAAATGTGTGTATGTTCCAGAGCAGCTGGGGGGAGATGACCGAGTCTGTCCCTCCCGTGCTGCGTTCATCATGGGGCCTGATGTGCCCCTGCTCAACGACTACAAGCAGGAGTTCTTCTGGAAGCGTTTCCCTCAGACTATCTTAGGGGGGCCGAGGCTGAAACTCGGTTACTGCGCCCCACCATATATCTATGTGCACCAGCTGGTGTTATTCCTGACACCATGGCTGTTGGGAGGCATCGGGACCCTCCTGTACCAGCTGAGGGTGCTGGATGAAGCCTGTGCGGGCGTTGTTTCGGGTGTGTTCATGCTAGGTGTGGGTGCCACCCTTCAGGGACTGGCACGGTGTATGGCACGTAGGACCGGATTGGTACAAAGGCTGCCTGCTGCCAGTAACATCCTTGCAGACGAGGAAGAGGTGGAGTTTACTCACTGCGTGGCCCCTGAGACGGTACGATTTGTAGTGCCTGGAAAGAGGTTTGTGGGTAATATGGTTTTGCACACCTTTCTTGCCGGCGCACTCTGTGGGTTGTCCACATGGTACCTGCTGCCGGACAGACTGAGCAGCCTGTATGGGCACCCGGGTGCAGGACTGGGAGCTGTCGTGCCGTTGTTTGCCCTGAGCTGGGTGACTGTTTGTATTGGGGAGTATTCGCTCATCGTCAACACGGCTACAGAAACAGCAACGTTTCAGCCGCAGGACATGTATGAGATCACGCCACTCAACAGACCCCTCTACATATTTGCTTTCATCACCGTGGACCTGGCTCTAAGGTACAAATCCAACAATTCACCACTACTGTCTCTGACAGCATAGGTCAATGATAAAGAAGTCCGTCCACAATAAAGGAAAGAAAGCAAAAGCAACCTTTAATTTTTTTTTTTTCTATTAATGAGGCTTTTCCATTCATTATTTTTCTGCCCCAACAAAATATTGAAGGGGCCATGAACTGCATTAAAAAATATATACTTATAATGTTTCCTGACACGCACTTAAAGGGTAAGTTCGGTATTTTACACTTAAAGCCCTGTTTTAAGATAGTTTCTGATGAAATAGAGCGGTTAAGATTGAAATTTGGATAAATGCTACTGTCCGGAGAATTTTAGGTTTCTGTGTTAGCACCTCCCACCTACACAATGGTTGTCTATGTGCACTGGAACAATCATTCATAAAACGCATTAAACTTTATTTTACAAAGACGTGAAACTCACCGAGTGGTCTGGGGTGGGTGTTTACTGATATGCTCACACAAAAATTGCTGTGAAAGATGCTTGCTTTCCAACTGGTTTTATAGTAGTTTTGGTACCAAGTCAAGTCAATGAAGTCGGACAAAAACTATGATAAAACCTGTTGGAAAGCATCTTTTGCTGCGATTTTTGTGTGAGCATATCAGTGAACACCCATGTCAAAAGATCAAGAAATTCTTTGAATTCTTAATTTATCAACTCTTTAAAATAAATATTCTGAAATTAAAAAACTGCTCATCATAGAAGATGTTTGTCATTCATTGTATGTATGAATTACATATTTATTTTGTTTTTTAATAAATTAATAGATTACAGACAAAAAAATGTCTGATTTTTTTAGACTGCTGTGATGCAACCTAAACTTTGTGTGAAAGACTGATAAACCTAATGTTTGAGTGTGAATGTCAAGGGCCATCTCCCGGATCTCATTTTCTCTCTCTCCTCTCAGGTTTTCAGGTTCTGGTGTAATGGAATTGCAAGTAGCAGCTCAGGTGCTTCATGTGGTGTTTGTGGCTTTGCCGGTGCTTTGGGCATTGGGAATGCTCTCTCCGCTGGACGCTCTTCTGCTCTGGGCCATGGAACAGACCTTGGTGTACGGCCTGGGTGGGTCAGCCATGTCCACCAACATCAGGTGAGCACTGAACCCTTCTCTCACTGGTTCCTTGTTTTACATTACTAAACATTAGACTAACTTCACTCTCAAAGAATCTCAAATTTAAGATTAATCTTTTTGAATTGCATTTGCATTTTTCATGCATTTTTATGGATTACCTAAATAATCTACTAAATCTAACATGATGCATATTTGTCAGTCATCATGACTCATACGTAAATACATAATATACGTAAAATGAAATATTTGACCTATAACGAAATATAAGATTTCTGTAATAGTACTTGTAATGCTATTATGTTTTAAATACACAATAACCAAGTTCATATATGCATCATCAATCAATCCAGTTTGTTTCAGTCTCATTCATTTTAACTAACTGAATATTGCTGAATATGTTTCATTGTTGTTTTCATAAATATATGTATTTGGATACTATGATTATTTAAATAAAAATAATGTATAATTATAATATTATAATAATATTATTTAAATAGATGAAAATAGTTAATAAACTATGCCATGATTCTTTCTTACCCATTTCATTTATGTATGACTGACTAATATGCATCACATTGTGTTGATTCGTTTGTGTATGATAAATCGGAGTAATCCAAATGGATGATAATTTTATGTAATTCATGTACATAAATGTTACATTGAGCGCATTAATTCAGGTCTACATTGGTGTGAAGAACTACACACTTTGATCAGACTTCTGTGGTACAAAATCTTTTGCTTTTCCTTTTTTCCTTCAGGCTCTTGGTGATGTTTCTGACATCCGTGTGTGTTGCCATCTGTACCTTCTTCATTCCCTCCTCATTGGGTGTGGTTCTATTCACCGTCGGCATGGGTTACCTCCTCAGCCAGGACCTAACCCAGCTGCTGGTGCTCCTGAAGGGAAATAGTCCAACCTTGGGTCTGGGCTGGTGGGGGCTTCCTCTTTCCCTGCTGTTCACATTAGGAGCCTTGACTGAGGCTGGACTCCTTCATCAGTTGTATCTCATTGACCCAGGGAATCTAACGTTGGGTGTGAACTCTGTAGAGCATTGGGAGTCTTCTGTGGGACCTGCAAGCCCACAAGAGGTGATCGGCTGGCTCCTTATTGCTCTGTTTCTCATCACCCGTCTGCTGAGAGAGCTCCAGGGAGCTTGCGTGCTGGGAGGTGCCATGCTCAACCCACTCTACCCCAAACGGGTCATGACTGCCCAGGCTTTCAGGCGGAAGACTCGTGGTCTGCGTGTCGCAGGAATCATCTGGAGGATCTTAATGAACCTGGGTGAGGAGATATTTGCACTTTACCAACTAAACAATCCTTTGTATCTGTCATATATGTGCTTTCTGTTTGCCAGTATGGTCTGTTGGAATGAGATGTTGTCTTTGCATTGATAAAACATTAGAGGTGAGAGAATTGTGATCCTATTTTATCCAGAAGTGTGCAGCTCTAAAACACATATAAATGCATGATATAATAATGCAATATCAGTTATCGTTAGATTATTTTTTTTTACATTAATTGCTGTTTATCAGTATTGAGTATGTAATGGTAAATATGTACTGTAGTTATCCATTTGCTATGATCTAACATGTAAATATTTAAAAAATAATTTAATAACACTGTTTAGCTTGTCTCAAAGTGGATTTTGTAATGTTTTGATGGTTAAAAAAAAATAATTGATTAATTGATTTTAGGAATAGCATACTACAAAATAGTATAGAATTAATTTTACTTGTATGTAGTATGTTTATCAGTATTGATAAGAACTTTTATATTTATTAAATGACGTCACTGCATTCCCTCTTGGTGCATCGATTCAGTCAGTTTAGTTTTTATTGCTCTGTTTTTCATTTATTTAGACAGAATAGTGTAGAATTCATAAAATATATTGCGAATTATAATTTATATATTTCTATTAATTGCTTGCTAACACATAATATGCCTTTGTTGTGTGTATTTTGATGTTAATGTTCATGTTTGACTTTACAGTGAGTCCATTGGCTATGATTGCTTTCTTGTCTGTGGATGAATCTCTAGAGAAGCTGCACACAGCCTCTCTGGCCATTGGCTTTACACGGGCATTCAGAATGGTAAGAGAGTTTATCAGTAACCACCTTAAAGAATTATGAGGACATGAACTGATCTATTTGCCCCTTAATCTTTGACCCTTGCTCATTGGGCTTTGTCCGGTAGGTGTGGCAGAGCTCTGAGGCTGCTCTACTGCAAATGGTGCTGGTGGTGATCATCAGACTCGCAGGGGGGCACAGAGTCGCACGCTGGCATGATTTGGGCACTACAGTGCAGCTGATTCTGGTGAGCCAAATGTAACTTGATACCTTTACTGTAATTAAATTGCAGGGACGTTTGTGTAATAATCTGTTTCTTGCAGGTCTCCTTGGTTGTGAATCGTGTGTCACAGTTTGTATGTAAGCTGAGTTTCGCTCTTACGGTGTTGATTACATCCTGGACGGAGAGTAAACAGCGTCGTCAGTCAGCGGGCACTTTGCTGGCGCTCAACGCTGCTCTGTGCCCTCTTCTGTTGGCTGTCGTGGCTCTCTCTGCCCTTCTGTCTGCCCCTCTGCTTCCTCTCTTCACACTACCTGTGTTCCTGGTGGGATTCCCCAGGCCGCTCCGCTCGTGGCCAGGCACCCCAGGCACCGCCTGCCCTTGCCCAGATTCTGTTTATTACCAACAGCTCTGCAAAAGACTGGCATCGGCTCTCAGACCTGCACTCGCTAATGGCGCATTTGGTGAGTGACACCAGCTGAAAAACACAAGAATCCTAATCTCTATCATGTTGTTTACATTTATTCATTTAGCTGACGCTTTTATCCAAAGCGACTCACAATTGCTATGTATGTCAGAGGTCGCACGCCTCTGGAGCAACTAGGGGTTAAATGTCTTGCTCAGGGACACATTGGTGTCTCACAGTGGATTCGAACCCGGGTCTCTCACACCAAAGGCATGTGTCTTATCCACTGCGCCATCACCACCATGTTGTAAAGATCAAGGGACAGTCAAAAGTGACAGTTAATACATATTACATTGCTACAATGCAAAAAAAAAATCATAAATACAAAAAACTAAAAGATTGTTTCCACAAGAATATTGTGCAGCACAACAAAATAGAGAAATGGCCCCCTAATTAGATCAATTAAAACTTTATTGTAGCAGATGAGCACTGAATAATCATTTCAAAAAATAGATTTGGAAGTTGATAGCCTATATTGTTTGTTGTTATTATTGCTGTAGTAGTGTACATGTTAAGGAAAATTATTGTTAAAGCTATTTTTATTTAAATTTGCAGCTAATATTCATGCATCTGGTTGCAGGTTCCTGCACTCCGGGATCTCATTACCTCGGTCGCTTTCAGGGTCGACTTCTGTGGATCTCTGTTCTAGAGAGAGGCTACGGCTATTGCACTGTCAACATTAAGGTATACCTGCTTTCTTGCCTTTGCTCTGAAACCAATCAAATGCTTTATTTGGAGGTCTACATAACACCAGTTTATGAATTCTCATTGGCTGCCATGTTTCGCCACAGGGACTGGAACTACAGGAAACATCATGCCACACAGTGGAGGCTAGGCGTGTGGATGAGGTTTTTGAGGGAGCGTTCGATCACGTGGAGCGGCCCGGACAGTGTTTCCGACTATTGAACCCTCACTGGGGTAATGCTCTGACCCCTTGCTCTATGTTGCCTGTCAGGGTTTACTCTGACGCCCAGAACGTTCTAACAGGAATCATTGACTCGCCTGACCACCTGCGTCAGCTCAACTCTGACTTCCTTAAAACGCTTGTCTGGATTTTATTGCGTTACTGTGTACAGGAATTGGCACGTGGTGCTCCGCGAACAAAAGGTCAGTCTCTACAGACCTCTGGACGCAAATCGCAAAGCTCCCAGCATGCCGTGGCCTCAGAGCCAGATCCGGCTGTGGTCACGGTTGCCATGGACTCTCAAGTACGCCCTGAATCCTCCTCATCCTGTCACTTGAGGGGGCGAGACAGCTCCAGCCTCTCATCCTTTGCTGATTGGTCAGACGAGGACGATCTCTTTGGTCCAGTCACAACGCGGCGACCGATGAGAATGATGGTACGGACAGATGAAGGGCAGACCGAGTTAGGGTTGGGAGTGTCTCTTCCAGGTTCTGTTGAAATCCACAGCCTGTATGAGAGCATGGCCCTTTCTTCTCTCCCTACCCTTAGACCTCTGGGTCTGGGTTTGGGACTCGGCCTGCCCATCCTAGATAAAGGGAAAGATAAAATCCCTGCGCGCACTTCGACCACCGTCCAGAGTAACTCCCAGCCTCTCCACTTCACTAGCCCTCACTCAGAGCTCTTCTCTCTGCCCTCAGAGTGGCGGACCGCCCAGTTGGCTTCCTCCAAACTCCAGGTACTGCGACCCTGCTTCCCAGAGGCCTGGTTCTGCTTCTGTTTGTCCCAGTTGGTGGTGGAGAGCTTTGGGGAGGGAGAGTTTGAGCAGGTGACACTGGGTTTGCAGGAGGACCGTGCCCTGCAGGAGCTTTATACCCAGGTGGTGCTATCATGCTGTGTGGCGCTAGGGGCAGATGCTCAGATGTTCAGCCCCAATCTGCTGTTTAGGCTGTACTGCGGGGACGGCCCCTGGACCGAAGGACTTGAGTGGCTCAGAGCCAATAAAGAGCTGCATCAGCTCACGCTCAGGGCTTTCAGGTAACAGACAAGAAAGATTCAGTTCACATTTTACATCAGAAAGAGGCCTTTTATCAGCTGCATTTCCTAAAACGTGACCGCTGTTGATTCATTCTGTGTGCAGGTACAGTGTAAAACTGTTGGTAGACCAGGCATCTCTTGGTCCGGTAGAGAGTCTGGATGAGCTCTACACAACTTTACAGGATTACCATAACAACTGGTTCATTGGCCTGGTTACAGACCACAGTTGGCAAGACAGTGTTGTGCAGGAGAAGCCCTTCCTATTCTCTCTCGGACATGACCTCACCATGGTAAGCACCATATTTACTGTAATGTAACCATGGCTACCAAACATTAACTGTTAGACTGTTTTTAGACTATAATGTGTGTGTGAGAGCGCTCTATTGCTTCTTACTACTGTGTACAGAGTACAGACAAATTACTTGTCATGTCTGGTTAGGAGGACACAGTGTTGTATTGACACTTTCTAAACTATATATTTGTACAATATTACATATTTTGTTTATTTACCGGTATCAGGAAATATTGGATATTTAATAGTACATTACCTTTCTCTATTTTTTTTTTTGCTGTCATCTAAATCACATATAGCTTAATTTGATTAATTATAATAGAATTAGGTTTGTATAATTTATCATTTTAAATACAATTTAATTATTCTGTTGAATGTAATCTTGAAGTAAATCTCAAAATGAATAAAAGAAAATTCATACCATATATTTATAATGTTGTGATGCTTTATTTAGCATTTAAAACAAGTGATTTTAGATGTTGTTGAATTTAACATCAGACATATTGGTCACAACATAATGACCAATAAAATGGTTATCAGTGAATCGACTAGAAGTTTAATATTAGTCTCATCCTGCTCTTCATGATAACTGATAACATGATAATTTTCCTTGAGTTTACAAATTGAATTTCTTAAAAAGTTTCCATATGATCATTTACAGATGTGGTATACATTTTGTGTTTTCACAGGGGGCGTATACGAGCCGTGTGTTGTCTCTGCAGGAGAATCTGGTCCAGGTGGGAGTTTTGAACGAGGAGGGTGTAAGGGGCCAGTGGGCCAACCTGTCATGGGAGCTACTGTATGCCACGAATGACGACGAGGAGCGTTACAGCATTCAGGCCCATCCTGTGATGCTGAGGAACCTGACCATACAAGCAGCTGACCCACCTCTGGGATACCCTATCTACTCATCTCCACCCATCCACTTAAGGTGTTTATGATCGCCACCTGCCCCACCTTTCATTTGTGTCGTCGGCACACACACTGATGCTACCAGCACATGAATTTTAAAACAATTCATAAAGTCAGATGTTTCTGCACACATCAAGTTATTTTATTGCGTTTGAACTTGCTACCATTGTAGTGACATTTGGCTTCTGAAAAAAAAAACACATGAATTGATGAACGTCAGCAGAATGAAGTAAATGGGATCTGTTTGACGATCAGCAAAATCCACTCCACACATAATAAAACTGTAAATTCATTCAGACAGAGCACATATTTATTATTTTCTCTGGGAAGTGTACTCTGTTTTCTCAATAATGGACCTCTGGTTGTCCTTGACTGAATCTCACCTCACCTCACGCTGAGCTTTTTTTTTCCCATTGTATTTTTTTTATTTTTCCACATTCTTGTTAAGCATCCTTCAAGAGCCTCGAAAAAAGGAAGAGAAACAGGAAAACCGTTGCCCTTTTAAAAAGCCTGTTTGTCAAATCTCAAGGATGTGCCTTGGTCACTATTTTCAGTGGTTATGAATGTGTTTTTGTGACCACCTTGTGTTATAAATATCAAGGTAAATTGGCTCTTGTTCATCCTACTTGGGCTCTGTCTTTTTATGGTTGCGTAATTGTATGTATAGAAAAAAATACAGATGTTTTATATAAATCATTTACTATCAGTTTTGTTCACACAAACTTGAAATGTTACAATTTTAATTCCTATTTATAATATTTTAATACAGAAAAAACAGAATACATAAATCAGCTTTTTATTTTAATAAAAAATATACTTTATTTATACACCAAGTAAAATGTAAGGTGTTTTCATATTTAATGACATTGAAATACTGTGTGGCACTCTTCAGAAAGTCATGGACTTTAAAACTTCCTGGGTCTTTCTGCAAAGGAATGCACAAATCAATGATTCTTGAAATGAGATTTTCAAGTTGTCTTGACCTTCGGCTTGCTGAAGTATGCGGCATCTGCGTCCTAGGAAAGAGAAGATGATTCCCAAAAGATATTATTGCAATTGTAGTGTAATTAAACCAGTTCAGGGATCTGTTTCCAGCAAGCTCCCAGTACTCACCAGCCCGGATTTGAAGTTCTGCACACGTTTTCTGCCTAGAAGTTTAGTTATGTACCAGGCCAGAGTGGGAGTGTACTGCCACAAATAGCAGAAGAGTAGAAAGGGCTGCTCAGCAATCCACATCTCTTTCACATGGTTGGCCAGACCTACCAGAGTGAGGTGAACACAGCGCTCTGTAGACATCTTATGTGTTTGATCACCAGCTGAGGCCACAGGCTACAGACAAAAACAGGTACTTTTTAGTTAAGCAATTGCAAAACACACTAGATATTTTGATTAAATGATCATTTAATTTTGTGTAGTGCTGATCAGTGCTATTTCAGTGTATTTATATACCAATATACCATGGTCTGAATACGCGACTCTGATTGGCTGGAGGGTGTGCAATAAAATCATTTAATGCATAGATAGTTCCAAGTCAGTTTAATCGCCGTTCTTTATTAATGCACTGTTCTCAATGAAGCGCACACAGAAATATTCAGGAGCACAGAAACTTACCAACGCTGTCCCGCTACTTTTAATAATAAAACTTCTCAGCAATGAAGGGTTACATTGCTATTTTGAAGAAGCTCACTGCTTCGAAACGCTGAACAGACGCAGTTGGTATACAGTATCTCACGAAACTGAGTACACCCCTCATTTCAGCAAACGTTTTAGTATCTTCTCAAAGGAAAATACTATAGAAATGAAACTCAATGTGCTGCTTGTAAAGCAGTATATATTTACTGTCCTCTAAAAATTACTCAACATACTGCCATTATTGTCAAAATAGCTAGCAACAAATGCGAGTACACCCTGAGTACTTCCGCTTCTGCGTTTACGAGTCTGCAGTGACGCTGGTGACATAAGACATACAATGTTTAATAAAGTCGTAGTTTTTGTTATTTTTGGACCAAAATGTATTTTCGATGCTTCAAAACATTATAACTCACCCACTGATGGACTACTTTGATGATGTCTTTATTTCCTTTCTGGACAAGGATACTATACTGTACACATTTTCAAAAGAGGGACAGAAACTCTCGGACTAAATCTAAAATATCTTAAACTGTGTTCCGAAGATGAACGGAGATCTTACAGGCTTGGAACGACATGAGGGTGAGTAATGACTTAATTTTCATTTTTGGGTGAACTAACCCTTTAAAGAAGGTCAGCTTGTTAGTCCTCAGACCATACGGCGCACACTGCAACAAGTCGGTTTGCAACAAGCGCCATGTGTCTAACATTATGGAGGAGTGGAAGCAGCTCTGGTGAATTCCATGCCAAGGAGGATTACAATGGTGCTTACACAAAATATTGACACTTTGGACACAGTTCACTGGGTGTATTCACCTTTGTTGCTAGCAATTTTGACAATAATGGCAGTATGTTGAGTTATTTTCAGAGGACAGTAAATATATACTGCTTTACAAGCAGCACATTGAGCTTCATTTCTGTAGTATTGTCCCTTGAGAAGATATACTAAAATGTTTGCTGAAATGTGAGGGGTGTACTCAATTTTGCGAGATACTATCTCTCTCTATAATTAATTCAATTAAATGCAATTCATTCATTCAAATAAATGTAATCTTCCCGCACCACTTTATCTTTGTGTATGATCCAAAGCGGACAGAATGCTTACAAGACGTAACTGACGAAAATAATTTTGACCGTTCCGGTCAAATATTGCAATGCAAACATCAACGACAGCTTAAAGCTGTTAATGCTGGCGAATGACCATGGTATAAGCGGAATAATCCATGGCTAGCTGTGCATTAAACGATTTTAATGCACTTCATGGAGGCACCCAACCACCCTCCGCTTCATGTTGGACAGTTTCTTTGCCTCCATGTCGTGGATTATCCCTTAGGCAACTCATTCCGTTTCCCTTATTCATATTTTAATTTGCTTTTATTTTTTATCTTTTCATATGTTGTATTTTTTATCTTAAATATTTCTATTTAATTTTTATTTCATCAACCAAGGCCCTCCAAAAATTTTAGCTTTATTTGACTTCACAAAAAACAACAACACTTGTGCTGGTACCTTGTCCAGCTCCTCTGTGATGGCGTTCTGAACGATGCTTGATACTACAGGTCCGGGGCAGATGGTACTGATCGTGATGTTTGGAGAATCAGCGAGTTCTGTTCTCAGAGAGTTAAAGAACCCCTGCAGAAACACAACAAATCTAAACACAGTTTTCCTTTACCAGACAATGTGGCATTAGGGTAGGCAGATTCTCTGGGAATTCTGTCTACTATTTGCTCTCACCTGCACCGCATGCTTGCTGGCAGCATACCCCGTTGCCAGGGGCACCCCGGAAAAGCCTGCAACGCTGCTGACAGTTGCTATGATACCGCTACCACGGTGGATCATGTGGGGCAGCACTTGCTTAGTCATAGATACAGTGCCAAGGTAGTTGAGCTCCATAAGTGCCTGGTACACATCCACATCAGCCTCTATGCACAGCGAACGCTGAGTCCGGCCTCCGTTATTTATCAACACGTCTATCTGAAAATGCAGATAGACACATGCAAACATTTAGGGGGGAATATTCTTACATAATGTCACTGACCATTAAAGGGTTAGTTCACCCAAAAATTAAAATTATGTCATTAATGACTCACCCTCGTCCCAAGGCTGTAAGACGTCTGAAACACAGTTTAGGGTACTTTAGATTTAGTCCGAGAGTTTTCTGTCCCTTCACTGAAAATGTATATATGATATACTGTCGTTGTCCTGAAAGGAAATTCAGACATAAAGTAGTCCATGTGACATCAGTGGGTTGGTTAGAATGTTTTGAAGCATCGAAAATACATTTAGGTCCAAAAATAACAAAAACTATGACTTTATTAAACATTGTATTCTCTTCAAGTTATGCGTTCATGAGTCCGCAGTGACGCAGTGATGCGGACAGACCCGGAAGACAATACAATCTTTAATAAAGTCGTAGTTTCTGTTATTTTTGGACCAAAATGTATTTTCAATGCTTCAAAACATTCTAACTCACCCACTGATGTCACATGGACTACTTTGATGATGTCTTTATTTCCTTTCTGGACAAGGATACTATACTGTACACATTTTCAAAAGAGGGACAGAAACTCTCGGACTAAATCTAAAATATCTTAAACTGTGTTCTGAAGATGAACGGAGGTCTTACGGGCTTGGAACGACATGAGGGCGAGTCATTAATGACATAATTTTCATTTTTGGGTGAACTAACCCTTTAAGGCATTGTATTGCTTGATGCTCAGATAAGGTACAGTATAAAGAATTAAAATGCATGAGGATAAATGATGCCTTGCCGTGCAATTATTTACTGTACTCTACAAACTTATCTCTGCAAATGTTTAGGTTTGCAAGTTTTATTGTCATGTAATGAACTTCAGCTAACTGATGCATTTCATTAGGTTAAAAAGTAAATGTTGATCACTTCTGCCCCAGGCACTTTTATATTAATGCAACAATATTTTCACAATTTAAATTTTCCCCAGTTGCAGAGTCATGTTCTTTTGCGGTGTGTTTCAACCTTTTAGATGCCACGGACCCCCAAATATGATCATCCTTGTGTGAGAGACATCCTAAAATTTATAAGGCATCTATCTTTTCTAAACACCCAATTTATACACAGAAAAATGCATATTATTCATCTAAATTTAGTTTCAGTTAAATTATTATATTATACTCACTGTAGTAATGTATTGTTAATATGTATTATTTATTTTTTGTTTAAATAAAATCACATTTTTATTTGATTTACTTTTCTGTCATCTTATTTAATCTTTTTAATAGATTAATAACTAATATTTGTTTTATTTAGATCTAATTTATTAATTTACTAATTTATTTTAGTCTTTAATTTTAAGATTTAAATGATTATTATTATTATTATTATTTATTTTTTTTTACAGTTTTTCTCTAGACTTTTCCACAGACCCCCTTTCACTCCCTTGTGGGCCCCTGTTCTGTTGTATTGTTCCAAGTATGAATGTAGCCAGTGCATAATTAATTCTTAGGTAGTTAATATTCCTAAATATGATCTAATATTATAGTTAGTTAATATTTAATATTATAGCTAGTTATTAGTTAATTTATTTAGCTAGGAAAATTCAATCAAACTTAAATTTTAAACACTTTATTTCGATGTCAGTACTGAAATATAAATTCAGGGGAAAAAAAGAGAAGGAAAAAACCTAAAGATTGAATAAGAAAAACAGATGGCATTTACATCACCGAAGTGCTTCCGAACTGCAGCAGTTTTTTCTTGATGTGATGCACGGTCCAACAAATCGAGTGGAAGAACAAGAATATCGCCATCCTTTAGAGAGGAGCGCTCTAACAAGAAAAGAAATTTCAGGTCAGTAGGTCACGGTGTGAATGCTTTTAGTACAAAACTGTAGTCAGAAATTGCCAGCAAATATACACATGTATACACATTCAGGGCCACACTCTACAGCTCTGAAGGACAGACATGAATTATTGTGTACTTAATTGATCTCTGAGGTTTTTTTGTGTTTACTCCTGTCTCTCACAAGTTTCTTGGGACTGTTCATACCTAAGCAAATGCGCTTCACCCTCTCAAGCTCATTCTCCCTGCGGGCAGACAGCACCAACCGAGCACCGAGCACAGCGAGCTGAAGGGACAACTCCTCCCCGATGATAGATAGATAGATAGATAGATAGATAGATAGATAGATAGATAGATAGATAGATAGATAGATATGCATATATATATAGACAGTAGACACACATATAGATGTAGCCTATAGATAGTTCGAAAGACAGACAGATATATAGGCTAGATATATAGAAAAATATCTAGAAAGAGACAAATAGACAGATACAAAGATGGATATAGACAGAGCGATATAGCCTATAGACAGACAGACATAGATAGACAGATGGATATAGACATACATACATATACAGACAGATAGATAGAAAGACAGACATATACACAGATATATGTAGCAGATAGAAATACAGACAGACAGACATATAGAAAAATATCTAGAAAGAGACGAATAGACAGATATATACAAATAGACAGAGAGATATAGCCTATAGACAGACAGACATGCAGATAAATAGAAAGACAGACAGATAGATCTCTCACTGTCATACATAAAAAAGATAATAATTTGCAATTTTAGTGTACTTCTGTTGTTATCAAAAAATAATAAATTATATATAGCCTAGGCCTATGTTTTATTTATCAATTTTGTATTAATAATGTTTTTAAATTTTTTCATTTTCAATTCATTTTTATTCTGTGTACATTCAGTGCTTAGGAAACCTTTTGAAAACAGCTTGAACTCTACAGTTAGACATGTTTAGCCTATCTGTTCTCGTTTTATTCTCCACTTATTAACATCATGTAAATGTGTATAAAGGGGTTTCTGATATTATGTGGCTCTGTGAGCTTTCTGTTCAGTCTCAGGGTTAAAAATGAACAGGGCTTGACAGATGAAAGATGCAGGACTGATGACAGGGGTGCATAGTGGTAAAAACAAAACAAAAATGTAGGCTACAGACGAACTGATGAATGAACGACTGATAAGGGAAGGATGCAATGGTGATGACAGAATGATGTGGATATTGAGGGATGTTGTACAGATGGAGGGATGATGATGGTGATGATGATGTCATTCTTTTAAGTGCGCAGCCCTACTGAATCCACATCCGGGTCCTGTGCTGCTGCTGGTGTGCAGAGATTCGGTCCCGAACACAGCGGACCAAAACAGCGGTCAAACCCGACCCTTTACACCTTCTAATTAGCTTACATTCAGGACGCAGAATAAATGGGAATGATGCATCCCTGGTTTAAAAAGATAAGGGTGATCCTCTCGCTCACAGACTGAATGCAGAGCAAAACAATCCGCCAGCCTCTCTTTCTCTCTCACCACCGACGCGCTCAGTTTATATCTCTATCTTTCTTTTCGTCCTTTTCTTTTATCTCTTTTTTACCTCCTCCACTACAGAACTCGCCAGGACTTATTTTTAGTGGGTAAGTGTCTGCGCTCTTGTAATATACCTATGTGAATGACAGAGCTAGCCTGTTAGCATGTTTGCTAAGGGAGTAGGCGGGTGTTGTGTGAGCTCTGTGAGCTGACCTGCTGCATGTAGCCGTCGTATGGTGCATTAAGGGCCTCAGGTCTGACAACCCAACCACGAGGCTTTACAAGGCCCTCTCGGTAGCATTTAGCCTGTCCTACCCTAAACATTAGCAGTGAAAACCTGCCAAATCCTTAATTCATTATTTTTTCCGATTACACGCACTAACCTATTGAACGTCGTCGAATCATTACAATCAAACTGAATGAACCCAAACGTCTATGTTAGCATGACGCTATCGTGCTAGTCGCTCGCGACACCATGACGTAATGCGGAATAGAGAGGCGCGTGAACATGCGGCAGGTCTGCACGCGCAGACTTTCAGTTCAGTACTGTACAACAGTGCAAAGAACATTGATTGCCCATATCGGATCGTAAAATGTGAACGTAATCTAGCAGTAATTACATTCTGCAGTTAGATCGGATTTACAGAGTGTGTACCTGTCAAACATTGTTCAAGGCTGGTGTTTGATTGTTGTTCAAGCGCACTGGTGTTGTGTTCAGAATGCGCAGTGATTGATGTGAGTGGCGAACAATGGTCAGAACATTTGTACTCGTCTATTTTTAGTATGCGAGTGTGTAGTGTGCATAGCAGTGTGTTAGCTGACTGCCATACATGGTTGGAAACCCGTGTGTCTGCCTGCCTTTGCGACGGTGTGTGTATGTGTTTACACTTGTTACTTGAGCCTGGTGGCATGTCATAGTTTATTTCTAAACTGGCTACTGTGGCATGACAAGACTTTTGTAGTATCAGTCATCATGAATTATAAATAGAGGCATTGTGCGGGCGTGTAACTATGTGTGCGTGTTCACACTTGATTCGTTAGCGTTAAAGGGATAGTTCACCCATTAATTAAAACTAACCCTTTAAACGTCCTATTAAAGGTTTTACAAATTTATTGTAGATCATCTAATTTAGATTTTTCTGATAAATTTCTATTTGCGATTTCAAAAAACGTTTGTAGGCCTGCACAATTTTGCCTGTGAATTTAAATTAAAATGTTAATATTTAACTTCATTAATAAAGTGTGTTACATTACAGTTTTTGCAATGGTATTGAAAACTGCTATTATATGAGAATTTTGAAATTTTACAGGTATTGACTGCAGAAATTTGGCAACATGACAATCCTATCGTGCTGCCCTATATCTGGCTCATTTGGGACACAAATGAAGATTCAGTTTGGCGTTGTGAGTGGCATAGACATGACACCCTGTTTTTTATATCACTCATCATTCTTGATCTTCTGTGTTCCAGATTCCTAAGCAACAGAGATGGGTGCATTTCTCGATAAGCCAAAGATGGAGAAACACAACGCAAAAGGGGACGGCAACGGCCTGCGCTACGGCTTGAGCAGCATGCAAGGCTGGCGTGTCGAGATGGAGGATGCACACACTGCTGTCATCGGTCTGCCCAACGGCCTGGACCCCTGGTCGTTCTTTGCTGTTTATGACGGGCATGCGGGATCGCAGGTGGCACGTTACTGCTGCGAGCACCTCCTGGAGCACATCACCAGCAACCCTGACTTCCAGGGTGGAGGTGGAGGAGGGGGTCCAGCCGTGGAGCCCAACGTGGACAGCGTGAAATCCGGAATCCGTACGGGTTTCCTGCAGATCGATGATCACATGCGGCAGATCTCGGAGAAGAAGCACGGTGGTGCCGACCGCAGTGGCTCGACGGCCGTTGGTGTGATGCTCTCACCCCGCCACATCTACTTTATCAACTGTGGAGATTCACGGGGGGTGCTGAGTCGCGGAGGGGCTGTGCACTTCTTCACGCAGGACCACAAACCCAGCAACCCCCTGGAGAAGGAGAGGATCCAGAACGCTGGTGGATCTGTGATGATCCAGCGCGTCAATGGGTCCCTGGCAGTGTCCAGGGCTCTAGGGGATTTTGACTATAAGTGTGTTCATGGTAAGGGTCCCACGGAGCAGCTGGTGTCGCCAGAGCCCGAGGTGTATGCTATCGAGCGGTCGGAGGCGGAGGACGAGTTTATTGTTCTTGCTTGCGATGGCATCTGGGATGTGATGGCCAACGATGAGCTGTGTGATTTTGTCCGTTCACGACTTGAGGTGACTGACGATCTGGAGAGGGTCTGCAATGAAATTGTAGATACCTGTTTGTACAAGGTGAGTGAAACCAGACCTTTACCTGTGAGTCGGATGAATTCGTTTGTCTATTAAAAATGCTGAAATGATCACAATCTGGAGATGACTCAGAAAGCACACTTGTTGATGGTTTGCACAGTATTTTATGCAATTAGCTTCTGATACTCTTCAGAAGTTTACGGTTAATTATTATTATTTTTTTTTAAAGAAATGAATACTTTTATTCAGTAAGGGATACATTGAACTTTCTAGTCAAAGAATCCTGAAAGCAAATATTACTGTTTTCACCAAAATATTAAGCAGCACAATTGTTTTTCAACATTGACAATCGCAATACATTTTCCTTGAGCAGCAAATCAGCATATTACAATAATTTCTGAAGGATCATGTGACACTAAAGTCTGGAGTAATGATGCTGAAAATTCTGCTTTGAATATACTAAATTTAAGTTATATTAAGAGTAAATGCTTGTTTTAAATTGTAGTAGTATTCCTTCATATTACCGTTTTTACTGTATTTTTTACAAATAAGTTTTGCCTTGGTGAGCATGAGAGACATAAAGAAAAATAAATAAATAAATATTAGTGCTGTGATGTCAAATCACATTTGTTTACATAATAGATACACACACACATTGATGGGTTTTCTTTTAGTTCTACTTGGTTTTAATTAACCCCTCCCTTCTTCTGCGATTGGACAGGGAAGTCGTGACAACATGAGTGTTGTGTTGGTGTGTTTCGTCAGTGCACCAAAGGTTTCCCCTGAAGCTGTCAAAAGGGAAGCGGAGCTTGATAAATACCTAGAGAGCCGAGTAGAAGGTATGAGCTAACCTTTGCAAATGTGTTATTTAACAAAATCAATCATTCAAGTGGACCATACTTGATGGCTCTGAATTGTTGTTGATATAACAGAGATCCTGAAGAGGCAGGGGGATGATGGTGTGCCTGACCTGGTACATGTGATGCGCACATTAGCATCTGAGAGCATCCCCAACCTACCACCTGGAGGAGAGCTGGCCAGCAAGTTAGTACCACACTGTCTCTCCCTCTTTCTTTATAGTTCCAAAACCATGTGATATGTCCATTCAGCTTTTCTTATACACTAATTAATGAGGTTCAACACCCTTCAACTGTGTAGCGTATATCTGTTATATTTTACCCAAAATCAGAATTGCCGTTGGTTCACCGTCCTTTTAGGGCATGTTTGCTTGACAAATATGTACTAAAAGTGGAAAAGGTTTTCCTTCGCATTTTTCGGGTACAGATGACAAAATTTGTCAAAACGATCCCTGTTCACATGGATCAGTGAATACAACAAAAAAAAATGCTGTATTGTTCATGACAGGCCAGCAGTTGACGACGTCACTTTGTAAAGAAATACTACTCGCCTAAAGACTGAACACGTTAATGCGCATGACGTCAGTGTTTTCACAAATTCATGTTTACATGTAGCCATAACTGTGTTGTTTTCAAAAACGTGCACTTTAAAACCTGTTTTCAAGCCTCCAAAATTCCATTGTCGTGTAAATTAACAGCCAAAACGCCTAAAGTTTTAAATTTTTAATCGAAGATGATGTGTAAATGGCCCCTCAAAAAATATTTTAAAACCAAGGCCAACTGAACTTTAATGTCAAACAGACTTGGGTCTGAAAAGTTGCTGCGCTTAAAGAATTGCATATTAATTTCCATTTTGTTTTGAATTTGGGCACAGCTCAGTAGGTTTTGCGAGTAGGGTGACCAGATGTTTACTATTATTACAACTAAATTGTCGGTCATTAAATCGTCGGTCATTAAATGACCCAACATCAGACGTTAGGCCGGGCCTAAGTAACTTTTTACACACAGTGCCGCGACCAATTAATCACTCCTTTATGACTGTCTTCCTGCACTGTCCTCGCGGCTGCTGCAAGTTGAAGGAGCTGGCTGCAGGACGACTCAACCTCTACGGACCGTTTTAATGTTTTATATTAAGATTTTGCTGTAGTATAATTTTTGGTACCATTAAGGCCGGTTTCGGTATTCGGGACAACAGTGTAGATTTCGGGACTGTCCCGAATTTTTTGGGACTTCTAGTCACCCTATTTGCACGAGAGGACAACGTTCTTTCCCTCTCTTTCTTCTTTCAGAAGCTCATCATACATTTTCCTGTGTTTGTCATAGGCGGAGTGTAATTGAAGCAGTATACAACAAACTTAACCCATACAGGAACGAGGATACAGTGAGTACACCAGCTTGACCCTGTGTGTGTGTGCTGGGAGTTTTGCTTGCATGCTTTTTGTTGTGCTCTAGAATTGTCACATTGCACAGTTATGTTGTTTGTCACCTTCTCAAGTAGTCTAGTCTTTTGTTCTTTCATTTGTGCATGTTTCCATCCTGTTCCATATTATCTGCTCTATACTGATGCTGCCGGATAGGCTAAGCTGCGCTTGGGAATGGTTTGGTTGAGTGGAGGATGGAGCCCTTCAAATTTGTTGGTCAAATTAATTTTAGATTTATAAGAAATTCTTAAACTCTTAACAAACGTTTTTGAATACATTTGTCATTGATTGATTAGATGATTATAGCTTTCTTAATCCAGTACAGTAACAAAAAAGACCTCACAAAAGATGTGTTAGTGTTATATAGGCAGAGCTGGTAGATTACTTACAAATCGTAATTGGTTACTGATTACAAATTGCATGACAAAAATTGTAGTCAGTTACATAATCCATTACATTACACATTTATGAAAATATAATCGGACTACTTTTGGATTACTTTTGTTTATCATATTGATTTGTGTAGAATAATCTTGATAAAAAAATATATTCCATTATTTGTTATCAGCAACATAAAGTGCGTTAAATATTATGTCAGGGTTTAAAAAAAAACGTTTTAAAATAAAAACAATAAAAATAAACACTAACAAAAAGAGACATTTCTCTTTGTTTGTCTGCATGTCATGTGACGATTAAGTTAACCATTTTTATTTTTCATTGTTATTACTATTATAAAAATGGTAACGATTAACCATTTTTATTATTCATTATTATTACTATTTATATTGACAGTTTTATTATTGACATAACATACAAATTACAATCTCAGTGGGTACTTCAAGTAAATATAGTTGGTCAAAGAAATTTCAGCTGAGAAAAAAGTTGGGGAATCCCTCCATTGCAAGTACATATGAAATAATGTGAATTTGTACATTTTAAATTTACCTGAAAGACAAAAGCCTTCCCAAGACATTAATGCGTGGTTAAAAAAAAACGTACTAAAACTAAGTGATAATTCAAATAATAATTAACGTGTTAATCTGGAGTTGATTAGATTAGATGCAATGTTGAGAAAACACTGGTTGAATGTGAAATGATTTCTCCAGTGATCAATTGCTGTTTGGGTCTCAGTTTTCTGTGATCGGTTCATTACTAGCGGCTGGTCTGTTTGTCCAATTCCACAAACCTGGAAGACGTTCTAAAAGTATACAAATAGTAGGCATTTTTAAAAAGGAAAATTTAAAAGATGGATAAAAAATTAGTAGGGAGAATCAATGAATTATGAATATTTCACTGTCATTGTTAGAATAACATGTAATCAGTAAAAAAGTAACTGTAGTCTGAATAACAGTATTATAAAATGTAATATAATCTAATTACAAGTACTTAATTTTTGGAATTTGATTACGTAATTCAGATAACATGCAATCAGTACTACCATGCTCCGCTTATAGGGTTGTCATGAGACAAGATTTCAATAGTCAATTCCTGCAGGAAACAATTCTGGAATACTAATAGTATAGATACCACAGCAAAAACGAACATGCTAACACAGTTCTTTATTTTAAAAGTTAAATATTAATAAAAATGTTACCATATTCAATATGGTAACAAATTACAATAAGTATTCTTCAAGCACAGACTTCAAGTTTTTAAAGAAAATTATTCAAAAGTTAAGGACTGACAAACAAACAAATACAAACAATGAAACCAATTAACTTGACTAGATTAGCATTTTGACCAAGAAGTGTATTTGAATGTTTGTGGACATAGCTGCTCTTTATAAATGTGTTGTTTTATGGCAAATTTCCAAATGAATTGATACTTGGTACCAAACCTGTAGAAAGACTGGTATTGACAGGTATTTTTACTACAGTACTGAATACTGATACTTTTCGCATCATTTTTGGCAAATTCATTGTGATTTTAAAAATCCAAACATATCCAATGTCTTTTTTTTTTCTTTTTTTTATCCAATTTCAGAAGAACTGACTGAAAATCAGGTACCTCAGGTGCTCTTAACTTCAGCACTTGATTCTGATGCTTTTCATGACTAGCCTTGACCTGCCACACCTCAGGCTGCTCTTTCAGGCCTTCCCAAAATAACAATTCTTCTCCTTCATATTAATTTTATATTTTGTTCATGTCATATTCATGTTTATTTGGTTTAGTTCACAGCCTGAATTGATCTGTTCACAACAGAATTGATCTGAAATGGAAAGCTTTTGTAACATTAATCACTACCATTCAAAAGTTTGGGGTCAGTAAGAATTTATTTTTTATTTTTGGGGGAAAGAAATTAGAAAATACTTTTATTCATCAAGGATGAGTTAAATTGATCAAAAGTTACCGTAAAGACATGTATAATGTTAGAAAAGATTATATTTTAAATAAATGCTGTTTTTTTTTAACTTTCTATTCATCATAGAATTTTGGGGGGGAAATGGTACACGACTGTTTTCAACATTAAAAATAATAATTTATGTTTTTTGAGCATAAAATCAGCATATTCGAATGATTTCTGAAGGATCATGTGACACTGAAAACTGATGTGTAATCAGCAACAGTAATGATGTTGAAAATTCAGCTTTCAAATTACATTTTAAATTGTCATAATATTTCACAATATTACTGTTTGTCATTTTTTTCATCAAATAAAGCAGCCTTGGTGAGCAGAAGAGACTAAAAAATCTTACTGATCTAAAACTTTTGACCGGTAATGTATGTATATATAATCTCTGTATTTTTCCTCAATCCAAGGAATCATCCTTTTAAATTAGTCACAGCCGTGCATTTAATACCATTGAAAAGTTTGATTCAGTAAGATTTTAATTAAAAAAAAATTTAAAGAAAGAAATTAATAGTATGATTCAGAAGTTAAGACTTATTCAGAAGTTTAGACCATAAAGGCATATGTTTAAAAAATAATCTTATTTTAATGAATTGCTGTTCTTTTGAACTTTCTATTGATCAAAGAATCCTGAAAAAAAGAAAAATTAACAACACAACTGTTTCCAGCATTGATATTTGATATTGATATTTTTTTTTGAGCCCCATATTAGAAGGATTTATGATGATGACAATTCTGTTTTGCCATCACGTGAATACATTATGAACAGTAATACATAGTGCCATCAATATCTCAAATAATGAGTATGTAATTGATTGCTCTGCTTAAAGGGATAGTTCACCCCAATATGAAAATTCTGTCAGTAATTAGTATTACTAGGGATGCAACAATAGTTTGCCCACGGTTCAATACATACATTGATTTTTTTTTTTTTTTTTTTTTACCACGGTTTGGTTTGGTACTGATGGTTTGACACATAAGAGTGTTTTTTTTATGTTATTCTATGCTTAGGCAATAGGAACAGTCAGACAAAAATGAAAACTATTTATTGCAATACTCCTTTATTTTTTTTAAAAGCTAAGAAAAATCCTCTAGTTCCTAGTGTATTGTATAATATAAAATTGAAAATAAACATTCATGTGAAGTTGGTAAACATAAATTGGCCATTTCAAATAGACATACTTGCACTTCAGTAAAGTGTTTCCTTTTGAGTAGGCTACACTTGTAAAACAATGCTTGCACAGTCATTTTTTTGTTTACCGTTTTTTCTTCCTCTGCATTGTACTCAATGGCAAAACCGAAATGTCCCCACACTACGGATTTGAAAGGCACCGGCGCGTCCTCGTACTGTAGCCTCACTTTATGTTAAAGTGTGGAATGATGGTTAAGCCGCGCGTCCGCCCCTAACTTTAGAGCATAGTGATTGAATATTTACTCGCGGGGAGGAGTTTGCTCATCTCAGCTCGTAGACGTACAGGCACACACAAACAGACAATTCGTAGAGAAATAAAACGCACATAAATTATTTAAACGTAAAACTGAAGGGAAAAAAAGCAATTCACAAGTACGTATTGAACTGTGGATGTCGTACAGAACGGTTCAATAATATATTGAGAATTGTGGCATCCCTAGTAATTACTCGCCCTCATGTTGTTCCAACCTCGTAAGACTTTCGTTCATCTTCAGGAAAACAAATTAAGATATTTTTTATTAAATTTGAGAGCTGGATCAATCCTCTGTAGGCTTCTAAGGGATTGAAACTTGCCGGCCCAGAAAAGTTAAAGACATCGTTAAAATAGTCCGAGCGACTTCAGTGGCTCAATCTCAAGTTCATCAAGCGACAAGAATACTTTTTGCGCGCGAAAAAACAAACAAAAATAACGATTTTATTCAACTATTCATATCCTTCTCTGTGGGCCCTCGAGTGCAGCGCTTCTGGATTGTACATCACACGCATCACAGACATGACAAGCCTACGTGTGATGTACAACCCAGAAGCGCTGGCTAGTTACACTATGTGAACTAAATCGAGGCCCACAGAAAAGGAAAGGAAATAAATAGTTGTTTTTTTGCGCACAAAGTATTCTCGTCGCTTGATAACCGTACGATTTTGCCACTGTAGTCACTTGGACTATTTTAACAATGTCTTTAATAACTTTTCTGGGCTGGTAAGTTTCGATCCCTTTGATAGAAGCCTAGGAGTGATTCAGCTCTCCGATTTAATGACAAAATATCTTAATTTGTGTTCCGAAGATGAACAAAAGTCTTACGGGGTTGGAACAACATGAGGGTGAGTAAATACTGAATATTATATATATATCATTTCTCATTTTTATATACATCTCATCTCTCACTTCTTTAAAAAAAAGTCCTGCATTTTACATGCTTTTCTCAAGTGCATCTCAAGTCCAGTTCACTCTGACTCTGCTTTTTTTTTTTTTTTTTTTCCTGGAGATTGCTGTTCTGACCAAGTGATTGATGCTCCTAAAGAGGAGCTTTATTGCACAAAATCTTAAAATATCCTATTGGCACACAAACAACATCAAGTGTTGTAATTTCTGTCAGTTTCAATCAGCATATCAGTTTGGCCATTCCATCATTTCCATCAGCATTTCCTTGAATCATTTCTGATTTATCTTCATCTTGTTTCATACTGTGTTATACACACACACGCACACACACGCATTTTCCTGAGTGGTTGGCGGTTGGAGCTTGGTGGCATCTCACAGCTGCTCTCCTCTCTCCATTCAAGGACTCTGCATCCACGGATGACATGTGGTAGCCCCGCCACTTTAAACACTGCACAGAGTTTACAACCCTCCAGAACCCTGCACAACAACCTTTCCTACAGGACCCGGCACCAGAACCCTGCACAAGAACCCTCAACTACTACAGGACCTGCACAAGAACCCTACCACAGCCCAGCTCAGCTGCTCTGGACTGTTCGGAGGAGGAGGAAAAGGAAGGGAATGAGGGCTCCCTCCCCTTGTTCACAAAATGTTCCCTCTCAGTGCAAGGCAATGGTACCTTCTGGAAATGTTCTGCTTACTCTTTTGTCCCGCATCATTCTTTTCCCAAAACCTTTTATCCTTAACATCACCCTCTTAAAAAAATCCAACGCAACACCTTTTTTTTTTCCATTTAAATATATATATTTTTTTTCGGTGTAATTAATTTGATTCACATTTCCTTGTGTGTTTGTATATTTCAGCTTTTATTTCTGTGAAGTGCAATTGTCTTGTACAAAGAAAAAGCCTGTATCAAATGCAGCTCGAGTTTTAAGTTTATAAAAAAAGAAAAAAGGCACACCTTTGTGCCCTGCCTGCTTTTTGTTTCCTCTCTAACCGCTTAAGCCCAACACATCTGCCTCTCATCTGCCTCCCAATTTTAATTTTTCATTTTTACCCTTTTAAAAAAAAAAACTAAATATAACTTTTTGTATTGTTACTTTTTAAGTGAAACGGGTAAATGATATGGGCTCACAGCACAGTACAGTAAGCTTTTTTGTAAATCTCACAGCACAGATGACAGTAATTGTTATGTTCTCTCAGTACTACTGTTTTTCTTTTTCTGATGGGGTGGGTTTTTTATTTTACCGCTTATTTTTCTGAGGAAACCGCTTTAACTTACTTAAACTTAACTGAAATTGTGTGCATGTTTGTGTATGTAAGAATGAATGCATCAGATGAGAGATCAGTGGTTTGTGTTGTGTGTATGTGTGCGTTTAAGAGTGCATGTTTGAGCCACCAAACTATTTCCATAGTTAAAGGTGTGTGGGGGGACTAAAACTGATTCTCTCTTTTATCATCAACACTAGAACTTGTCTCTACAGTGTTCTGCACTACTGCAGCTCTTGATTTTTAGTTTAAGTTGGCCTGGCTGGGAGCATCTTAGAGGATCACCTGTTCTTGCTGGAAAAAAGCAACTGTTAAGAAGCATCCAGAATTGAGACAGGCCATCTTAAAGGGATGGATTACCCAGAAATGAAAATTCTGTCATAATTTACTCACCCCAATGTTGATCCAAACCTGTATGAGTTTCTGTTGAACACGAAAGATGATATTTTAAAGAATGTGGTTAACTAGACAGTTCACAGTTGCCATTGACTTCCATAGTATTTTTTTTTCTTGGAAGCCAATGGCTACCGTCAATTGTTTCATTACCCACATTCTTCACTCCATCATCTTTTGTGTTCAGCAAAAAAAAAAAAAAAAGAAACTTACACATGTTTGGAACAACTTGGTTTGGGTGAACTAACCTTTTAAGTGAGCGTATGTGTTTGGCTATCAATGCGCATTGAATGAATGGATGTGTGAGACTGCATGTTTATTTTGCTTAAAATTATGTGGGTTTTAATGGGGATATTTAGGCTTTTGACACAAATATAAAAGGCTTTAGCTATAGCTCTCACTCACCCATCTGCACTGTTGAGAGAGTGATGAGTGAATGCAAGTATTACATTCAACTCTCAGATTTTTCTTCTTCTACCATTCGCTTCATCATGTATTGATTTGTTGTTGTTTTTTTGGATGTGTTTTTTTTTTTTTCCTTAAAGAACAAATCCAGTGTGATGCAGTGAGCTGGCCTGGTTTTAGGTGGAGCCTACATGTGTTCCTCTGACCAATAGGGAGCGCAACAGAGTACTGTTTGCTGCTAAAGTGTGATTGAATCATTCGTTCATTCATTTGAATGCTCTTAGTTTATATTCTCCTGCACCTTTTTATCTCCCCCCCCAATGCTATATGTAACAGTTCTGAATTAATTTAATCGTGTTGTTTTCAGAGAGATTGCCGCTTGTTAATTTGTCCTAAGATTGTCTGAAATGTGACATGGTAAAATCAAAACCCCTGCGTCCTTACCTCCCCAAACTAAATCTTTTATGTATTGAATAGATTATATGAACAGGAATTCCCATGCGTCTGATAAATATAAGTTAGCTTTTTGTCTTATCCCGTATATTTGCATATACTAAAAAAAAAGGTTAGGTAAAATGATCACTTTGAGTCTTTTTCGTGAACTTCACAGGGTGATTTATTAAACTTCGAAACTAATATTGTAACAAAATGACAATCTAACAGTGTATAGCTAATGTAAACAGAAAGAAATCTCCTTGTATCCTCTATGCTTTCGGCTTGTTATAACACAGGCTTAAAGATAGTTGTGTTTGTGTGTGGAATGGTAAGCTGTGTTTTCCCCAGTGGAAGCTGGAATATTGTGTAATAGGAGGATTTACGAAATGAATCTAAAATTAACAGGAAAATTTAGGATGGTCTTAGAGGCCAAGATGTGTTCATGTGTCTTTTTAAGCTTTTTTTGCATCCGAAAAGCTGCGTGGAATCACTTTAGGAATGTAGAAATGAGGAACGACGAATCTTACTAGGATGCTGTTGGTTTGCTTAACCCTCGTTTTGGCTTTATAAGGACTTTAAACTCTCTCATGTGAAAATTGACTAATGACGTGACTCTGAGATGTTTTTTGCAATGCGTTTTGTTGTATTTATGCAGTTTTGAGATCCATAAATAGCTTTAGATTTCCCCTCATCGTTTGTAAGATGTCCAGATGGTTTTTAGAAAAAAAAAAAAAAAAAGCAGAAATACTGAATTTTTAGCTTCACGATAGTCATAGGTACAGGTCCATTAATTGTGGAGAGGTTATATAATGGCTTACAATGAAACATACAAGCCCATTTATAGGTGATAGAGATGTTATGAATGTGTTTTTATTATGGTTTGTCTTGTCACTCAAGTTGACAAGGGCATTTCACAAGGAATTTTAAGTGACGCATGAACCGTTGCATTTGTTAAGTACGCGTATATTTGCTTTCCATTTTCTAAATATGTGTCACAAACACTTCTGTGGCCCTGTATTTTAGTTTTATGCTCTGAAATCCTATTTCTGTGGTTGCTAGCTCTGTAGTGTTTGCTTGGTAGCTCATTTTAGTTGATTTATCCGGACCTGCCTTCTTATGTATAAACCAAGTGATTAATGCAGCCTTAATGCCTCCTGCAAAAACCCACACCCCAAACCCTTGGGCTTTGCTCTTATATTACAGAGCTCTCTACACAAACACATCACTATTTTGTGCTAAAGGATAACTAAATTTTCTAGCACAGTGTGTAATCCAGTGGTTCGGCCTCACACATTCTTAGACACGCGTATGGTATTTTACTCTCGTGAAATCCCACCTCCTACCCCAACAGGATTATTTTTGCTGATTTCAGTCATCTGCTGTCCTCATAAGCTAAGCTATTTTTGTTAAATAATTGATATGTATATTTGTATTCATTTATAAATATGTACACAAAATGAAGTGAGTAATCAAGGATAATCTCTCCTCCCTGTAACCCACTGTGACCCACTGGTCATCATCTAACTGTTCCACTGTCCATTTTTGTTGTTTTAATCTTTTCAGACTGGAAATAAACCTATTTTATTTGAAAAAAAAGAAGAAAGATTTGGTGTAGTTTTTGGTTTACCCCTCCCCCCCATTTCCTTGTTAGTTTGATGATGCATATATTATGAAATTATACACAATTAGAAATATTAGAAATTACAGTTAACAATCATAGGTGTGTCCAAAATATTATACAAAAAAAAATGTTGTTGTTGCCTGTTTTATCAATATCTTTGAGGGTATGGGATTGGTACCCTACCAGAGATTTTTTTCTTTTTTTTTTTTTAAGAAATTAATTAATACTCGTACTCAAAAGTGATCAACTCAAAAGTGACATTTAAAAAAATGTCTATTTCAAATACTGTTCTTTTGAACTTTCTATTCATCAAAGGATCCAGAACAAATGTAGCTGAGAAAGTCTAGGAAACTGAATTTAGCATTTGAGGTATAAATGAACAAGAGATTCTGCCAGTCCTGGTCAGATTACTGAGACTCTATGTATTTAATGGCTCTGGGAGCCCCTGGCTCAGTTTGAATTGTTATGTTGATTGGATTAGGATTGGTAACACTCTCAGGTAGCAGCTTCCTAAACCTGTATACTTCATTGACATGCTTTGTTTCAGAGTGTCTCCCCCTCGATGTAACTCTAAGGTATGGGATATACAATCAGGCTGACTGGATTACCATCTATGGAGAATTTCTGGTAACAAGCTGAATCCTGTTTTTCATTTACATGATTTGTTTCAGGGTGTCTCTCCACCTTTATGTAACTCCTCCCTCTCCCCCCAAAATATGCAGAACAACCATTTTCATCCTTGGTAATATTAAAAGAGCTTTATAAGATTGTGGCCAAAACTGGTACTGCAATCACCTTAAAATTACTGGGATATATCCCCTCCCCCGGGATTGGAGATTGCCAGATAGGCTGCAGGATCTTACATTTTTTTTTCTCCAACATGTGTGTATCTGCAGCTGTGGTAACTAGAGCAGAGCTGGCAACCCGGATGCTGCAACACTACTGACTTTGTCATTGGTAGATAGGTGGAGGGTGGAGCAAACACAACATGACAACATCAACATCAGTCAAGGGCTGCAACTTCACTTTTTAATTGACAATATCCTGGCTGGACTACTGTTGTCAGTAATAAGTATTTGAAATGAACATGATTTCTTAATATTTAGTGACATATCAGGGCCATTTTATGATTAATTGAAATACATTTCTTACATACAGCTCCTTTAAGAAATGTTTCTTTGAGTGAAATTTTAGCATATTAGAATGATTTCTGAAGGATCATGTGACACAAGACTGGAGCAATGATACTGGAAATTCAGTTTGTCATAACAGGAATAAATTACATTTTTATATTACAGATATTGAGTTAACTTTTTATTTATTTACTATTTATTGCAAAACCAGTTACCCTCCCCGTATTTGTGACCAACACAGCTTAAGGTAAAAAGTTCTTCTAATTCTTTTAATTTGCTGGCAGCAAACTGAATAGACTACAAATGGATTATAGTTAAAAAAAAACTAATGCAAATGGATGTAAATACTCACCTCTTAAAAAGGTATTTTCTTAGTAAATCTTTGCACTGGCCACCAATATGCCCCAAGATCTGCAGTAATAGGATGAAGATAATTCTGACCTCTAGTTCTTTTGGATTTTTGAGACCCCCTAATCTTAAGTGTAAAAGCCCGTTATGTGCCATTCTTAATTTGTTTTGAGATTTTGAGGTGGGCGTGCTCTCTTGCTTCTGAGGGAAGGGACTTTCAATTTATTAAAAATTACGAAGCAACAGAGATTCTAAATAGTAATAATGCTGGCAGCATTTCAGTCCAATGTTATTTTGCCCAACCAGTAAGGTTTTTGTGGGTGATTTGTTTTAGACTGGCCAATGTCCTTGAGAATTTATTAACTCTATAACAGATTTTTCGTTTACCTGATTAATATGAGTAATGATCTTTCATTTTGACATCAGACTTAAAATGGGAAAGCATCTTTTGTGCAACATCATCTGGATGTTACAAAAGTGCTAAATTAAAAAAGGGAGATACAGTGGAAAGATAAGATTATCATGCCTGCAAGAAATGTGTGTTTTTCAGATAAACGGATGAACTTTCTCAGCCAACCTCATTCTCATCACATATGGTGTTCCTTTTATATTTGGGTGGGATTTTGTGTCAATCTGTTCATTTACAAATCGGAAAAGTTATGGTTTACAACTATTTGGTTGTCTTTTAGCAGCCAGGTGGGGGCGCAGTGTGTGTTGGATAGAATGAGGAGTCTAAAATGTGAAGCCACTGTCAAAACCAAATTCGGTAACTATTGGTACATTTACAGCAAAATAAAAAAGAAGAAAATTGTAAATGGGTTTTAATATCTGATCCCCTCAAAATCTAATGGGTTTTTGCTAAAACCCTTTTGCTAAAGCGAGTCTACCAATGAATGCCTTTCATGTAGATTTTGAATTATAATCACACATATTAACCCAGGATCTAACATACAGAAGTGTATTTAAAAAAAGATATTTAGTATATGACTTTCTTTTTTGAGTGCCAGTGTTTTGTTTTTTGTGGTCCAATGGGAAGTCAATGATAACCAAAACTGTTTGGTTGCCAACATTCGTCAAAATATATTCTTTTATGTTTTCCAGTTCATACAGGTTTATAATCATTTGAGCTAAGCTCTCATCATTCTGTGATCAAATGGGGCTGCAACTACAACTTTTTAAAGCTATTTATACACCTATGTGAAGTTTAGACTGAAATTATAGTCAGAAATTTTCAATGCAAGTCTACAGGATTATTATACAACATAATTACAGCAGTGGATTGCAGAAAATAAGTGATGGAAATGATGACTACTCACCACAAGTTCGGCACAACTTTTTTACCTCTCAGGGCTTAAAAACACTTTCAGTCCTGACCTATAATGAAATCTGCCCTCTTATTGTTTCAATGTTATATGTGCACGTATCCATTTGCTTTCACGGATTCACCAATAGCCGACAGATAATATTGACTGTGCTCAGTCCTCTTTTGAATCTCTTCTCTCATATTCTCTTAGTTCTCGCTCATTTTCAAATGCATTTCGTTATGTGTCTATCTATCTTTCTCTGTTATTCTCAGTTACTTGAGGGCACTGACGTGTAAAGCAATGTAGCTGTTTTCATTCAGACCTATAGTAAAAGTTCTCGGGCATGTTTGTTGATGTTTTGTAGGAATTTCTCTCCCGGCCAGTGTGCTTTTTTTCTTTCTTCTCTGAATTTGTTTGCTTTGCTGTGTTTAATATTAACCCTTAGCATGTACTGTTGTCCTCTCTTCCTGTCTGTAGTAAATTCTCTCTATTCTTCTCCTCCAGGATCCAGACATCCTTTTCTTCAGAGGTTTCTTCTAGATACTGTGCAAGCCTTCTCATTTCCCCCTTTCTCCTTACTTTTGTCCTCCTTCATTTCAGTTTGTTTGTGTATGCTTCTAAGATTTTTAGAGATGAAGTATTTTAGAGATGAAGATAGCACTTAAATGTATTTTAGAGATGAAGGTAGCACTTAAATATATTTTAGAGATGAATAGCACTTAAAGTTTTGCATCTCCGTTTTGGTTGTTTTTATGATTTTGCTCAATTTTGACTCTGTTAGTCTCATATAACATATGACTATTTATAAATGTGACTTAAACTTGACAGCATCTTCCAGTAAGATAATACCGCTCAGATGTTTTGGTGTTGGTAAGATTTTTAAATGTTTTGCAAAGTAACCTCCTGTGCTCAACACGGCAGTATTTATTTGATCAAAAATACAGTAAAAACAGTATTGTAATAATTTTAAATAACTTTATTTTAATAGATTTTAAACTGTAAATTACTCCTGTAAAGGTAAAGCTGAATTTTCAGCATCATTAGGCTACTCCAGTCTTCAGTGTCACTTGATCCTTCAGAAATCATTCTAATATGATGATTTGGTGCTTATTTATTATTTTTTTAATTATTGTTATCAATGTTGGAAGCAGTTGTGCTGCTTAACATTTTTGTGGAAACCATGATTTATTTTTGATTAATTGAAAGTTCAAAAGAACAGCATTCATTTAAAGTAGAAATCTTTACTTTTTATTATTTATTGTAAATGCATTTTAGTTTTGGTCAATTTAATGCAGTTTTAAAAACATTTTTTTGTAAATATTATATATAAAACATTATATATAATTTAATATTTTTAATTAACATAAGATATATTGCCATAGCCTTAACGGAGCGATGCCATAAACATTTTGGTAACGCTTCCTTGTCCAGTTACCCATGTAAATACTATGTGCTTATTTTAGTAACTACAATTACTGGGTAATAACTAGTACTAGCCCTGAACCTACCCCTGTTCCATGTACTTACCTTATATTAGCCAGTACTTTCAAGGTAATTACACTGTAAGTACACTGTAAGTACTGTACTGTAAAAGGAAACGTTACCAACATTTTTTTTTTTGGTTCCCCAAAAAACCTTTTAGTGAACAGTTTAAAATTCTATTGAACCTTTTGCCCAATGGAAAGGTTTTTTCATTTTATAATTTTTATCATTCTCCACCAGTCTGGGTCTTCATGTAAAGT